GTGATTATTTGAACCGGTCCTGGGCCTCCCCTAGGTCGACTCAGCCTCAGATGGGTACCTGGTGCGGTGTGTAAACATCACGACTGTGGAGACAAAGGCGGTCGGGCGTAGTGCTGACAACCCACCCCCTCGTGTGCCCAGCCTTTGTAGGTGCTTCCCGCTAACAGCACTTGCCTGTGTAGGCTACACAGAGAATCTTGGTATTTGTGGGAGCTGTGGTTTTGTGGTCAGTGCACTGTTTTTGCAAACTCAGTGACGTTTATTTCCTCACCGTGATTAACAAAGCAATAACAATAGCAACGTTATGTACGTGCGTAATGAGCCACTAACGTAACAACAGATGCCTCAGATTGCAGTGGTCCAACAACATCCGGCGAGAGCAATATAAGGAGCAGTCCGCGGTGGTGAGATGTTATCTCCCTCCCCTGGTGTGCAGGAGGTCTTTGCTTCGGGCCAGATCCTGACGCCTCTATTCTTGGAGTTTCCATGTTCTCCCTGTGGCCGGGTGGATTTTTATTCGGGTCCTCCGGTTTTTCCCCCCCACAAACGTGCGTTGAGATTGTTTGGCTGCGATAAATGTCTACGTGCCAAGCCACTTCGTTGAGCTATCATTTTTGTCCAGGTTGCTTCTGCAAGAGTTTATAGCTCGGTGGGCTTTACTTGGTAACATAAAATAGTTTAGTTTTAGTTTAGGCCTGGACCTATCCTGTTATAAAACAAATAAGCGAACAATACGTCTCCTCCCTCACACATTTGTCCCGCCACGTGAATAAATACGTGGGCGTTTTCGTTTTACAAATCCCATCACCTTCTGGGGGAGTGCATCATTTCAGCAGCATTGGTTGAAGACACGCAAACACTTTGGACAGCACGAGTTGTGTTTGCCTGAACTTCTGCTGGGTACTAATAGGGGGTTTCCCCCTTTTTTCTGGCAACAAAACTGACACCTTTTGCAAGGAATCATGCTTACAGTAACCACAATACTTGCAGTCAAATGCAAACAAAAAACAATACTCTGATAATTTATGCATTGTCTTTGAAACTGATTGGTCCACACCAGAGACAGCTTTCTTTGGAGCCTAGTCTCATATGGTGTTCGACCAGATGACGCCGAAAGGCGCACAGTTCAAAGAAAACGCACTACCAGAGTAATGAAAAAAGGGGAAAAACCTATTAGTATATTTTGGTACTGGCAAAGGAGGTCCCATGATGTAGATTCTGCTGGGTACACTGCCTGATGTTCATCGGCACAGGAGAGACAAAGGTGGCGCTGTGCCAGCCTTATAAATAGGTGCTCGCTAACATCACTTTTCTCCAAAGGTGTATATACGTCTACACACGGTGATCTTTGTCTCTGGTTATAGAAACCCTTCAGCATTTCTGTGGGAGTTTGTGGTGTGTGTAGTTCATGTCTGTGTGAGACTAATAGCAATCTTAGATGCGTGCTGTTACGGTTCCACCTGAAGACGGATGCTTGTGTCCGAAACGTCGTGATTTTTATTTTATTTTACTTTTATTCATTTTAATTTTTTACCTACGTGACTTTACCGAAAAAACCTAAGAATATAATGGCAATCTGTGTGTGGTGTGTGCATGGTATGTGCAATTTCTGTGGGTATGTAGTTAATGTGTACGTGTGTGTGTGGTGTGATTTACGTCTGTGTGCAATGCGCAATTCATTTCTGTCCGCGTGTAATTCTCGTCCGTGCGAGTGCGTGTGCGATTTACGGCTTGTGTGTGCGAGTGCGATTGTGTGTAATTCATGTCTGTCTGTCTGCCCGCGAGTGTGTGTGTGTGTGATTTACGCGCGAGTGTCTGTGCGAGTATAATTCATGTTTGTGTTCGCGGTGATGTCACGCTAATGCCGGTCCTCCCTCCTCGAGATGCCTTTGTTTATTGACTCTGTCAGCGCATGTGAAGTTAACCGTGTCTGGGCGGCCGTTGGTGTCTCTAAGCGATGGGACCACTCCTGCCAGCTCTTGGCCTCCAGCCCTTAAGGGTCATGACCCCGACTGCCTCCCCCTAACCTCCACTCTACGTGTCACCAAGTCTCGCCTTTGGGTCTCCGAGTCTCTCTTTGGGTCTCAGAGTCTCCCTTTGGGTCTCCGAGTCTCCCTTTGGGTCTCCGAGTCTCCCTTTGGGTCTCCGAGTCTCTCTTTGGGTCTCCGAGTCTCCCTTTGGGTCTCAGAGTCTCCCTTTGGGTCTCAGAGTCTCTCTTTGGGTCTCAGAGTCTCTCTTTGCGTCTCCGAGTCTCCCTTTGGGTCTCCGAGTCTCTCTTTGGGTCTCAGAGTCTCTCTTTGCGTCTCCGAGTCTCCCTTTGGGTCTCCGAGTCTCTCTTTGGGTGTCCGAGTCTCCCTTTGGGTCTCTGAGTGGGTGTCTTGGGGGACAGTAGTGAGAGTTTGTCGTGGGAAGTGAGAGGTGGAAGTGAGTGGGTGGTGAGCGCGCGAGCTGAGCTTGCATGATGGGTGTGTTGAGAGTGCAGAGCGAGTTGTGCGCGTGAACAGTGTTTTGAGTCGGTGGTGAGGATGCATTGTGTCGTGAGCGAGCATGTATCTGTGTACGTTGAACTTCTTTTGCACCGTACGTGCTAATCGGAAGTTTCGGGGAAGGACAACAACACTAAACACAAAAATCTGTTATAAATAAATTAGTTTTCAATCTAAAAAATTCGTTTTCAACTTAAACAAAATATAGGGATTTGTTTTGGGTTAGATGGCGTAGATAGAGCAAATTGTAAATGTTGTGGATTATCTCTCCAACACACCGGTTAGTGCTGTACTAGTGACGAATTGGCATGTTCTGTTTACGTGACAACCCTTACTAGTTGGCTGTGTCGGGTGGTGGCGGATTTAACAACATATATTTACGCGATCTAACCCTAAAAAAACCCTGTTATGGAGTTCTAAAGAAGTTGGTTTTCAGTCTAGATATACAAGAATTTTCAATAAAGCATGCCGAAGTGAGAGTGGGTGGTTGAGGATGCATGGATGAGTAGCAAGAATGGTTGGTGAGACAGTGGGCGTAGTGAGCGAGTGGTGGTAGCGAGTGAACTTGAGAATGCCCGGCGAGCAAGAGTGATGCGATGAACGATAGTGGTGCAATGAGTGAGTGTTGCGATGAGCGAGAGTAATGCGGAGTGAGTGACGCGGCGAGCGAGAGTGACGCGGAGTGTGTGACGCGGCGAGCGAGAGTGGTAGATTCCTGCTGCTCCGTGTGAGCAGCAGGTCCTTAGGTTTCGGTACCACGTTAAGCACGGAATCATGTGGTGGTGGGGAGCGGCACGAGTAGAGAGAGAGAGAATCGGAATCTCTATCAGAATCTTTATGTAGACTGGTGGAATCCGATGAGACGTGATGCTCTTTCTGACACTTGTTCGGTAAAGATGCACATTGACGGGGATAGATGCACGATTAGAGAATCACTGGGAGCGAGAGAGACATGCACAGGGAGTGCAAGATGGCACGGGGAGAGCAAGAGAGAGATGAACAGAGCGAGAGATGGCACGGAGAGAGCGAGCCAATGAGAGAGCGAGATGGCACGGGGAGAGCGAGAGAGTGAGAGAGAGAGCCATGGGGAGCGAGAGACCCCTTGTGGCTACGATATATCGGCGTCTGGGTCTCCTAATGACGCCGCACGGAAGTTCACCGAGTCCGCGACGAATCTTTTATCAACACCGCCTGGAATGTCGCAACCTCCTAGTGGCTGCAGGGGTCACGTGACCAATGACCCGCCACACCAAACGAACGTGTAAAATCCCCCCGTACGATTTGCATGAATCCAGGGTGCAGATACAGCCACGTCCCATCATCAAGACTCTGGATAGACCGGTGGCACACAGGCATCTTGGGTGGGGGGGAGGTGTTAAAGGAACCTATCTCTTATTTATGTTTACAGTTCCTAAACAGAAAGAGTCGAGGTGAAACAAACATTGCTTTTGGCGTTGTTCTGTGGTTTACCGCTGTTGTTGAGACAAGGCCATAGAGGAGGCTGCCTCTGGTGTAGGCCAATCTGTCTCAAAGACAATGCACGCATTGTTATCCAAAAGCAGTGTTTGTTTGCGTGTTTTGCCACAAGCATGTGTGCTTAATGCAGCATTGATGCAGGCCTTTGCAATAGGTGTGCCTATTTGGCGTTTGAGCAACTTAACACAGCTCCTGTGTGTTATTGCCGGAAAGGCTAAAAAGGCTTTGGTCTCTTTTTTCATTTTGATACCGGCAACAAAATGGGTCCCATGGGATATCCATGGCGGGTGTTTTGCGTTCACCAAAGAGTCGAAGCAATTTTTGTTTTGTTGAATCGGCACGTTGGCCCTGAGTTCATGGGATAGAGAGGGGACGTGGGCGGGGGGCGGGGGTGGTGGCAGTTTATTAAAAGCATTCTGCGATAATATTCACGGCCGAGGCACTCTGGGTTAGGGTTAGGTCTGCGGGTCGGTCACGTGGGCCAGCTTCGTCAGAAGAGGTTCACGGTCCGACCGCCCTGCAGGCCGCCCCGGTTGAATCCTGCGGTTACGTGACGACCGCAACGATCGTACGGGGCTGTCCGCTTCGCGCTGCACGTCAAGGGGTCCCGTGACGTCGTTCGCAACGAGAGATATAAAAAAACACGATTGCCCTCATAATCGCTTAATTGGGATTTCGCGCGCCAGCGGCCCTCGTCAACGCCCTGCCCTCGAGAGCTTTTGGCGGGGACCTGCGCGGGATTCGCTCGGTTCGTCGAAGCTCGGGCTCAGCGCGAAGGCGCCGCCGTGCCTCGCAGGGCCGGTGCAGGCGGCCGGTCGGAGGGCGCGCACGGTTGCCGTGCGGTTAAAACCGAATCGAAATGGTCCGTGCGTAAGTCGGTTAAGTCATCGCCCGCAACACCGATGAACACGGCGGGCGGGCCCGGCTCCTTTCCGCATCGCGCAGCGCTTGCAGACGTGTTTTCTGCGGCCGTCTGGAACGCTCTCTTTTTCGGAAGCCACTGGAGCTATGCACTTTTAAATCATCTCGATCGAACACTCGTTTCTCTCGAACCGCTCTTTGCGTTTAGTTTGTCCCCCCCTGCCCCCACCTCCGATTAGTGCGGTTGGATACGTACGGTGCGAAAGACGTTCAACACACATGCATACGTCGGAACCCTTTGACGTGTGCCGCTCAGCCGACGGGGTGCGTGCTGGTGGTGACCAGTATTAACCGTCAGGTTCGTACTGCGGTGACCCCGCGAGGGGTTCACCAGGGCGCCCGCCGGGCTCCGAACCGTGAACCTCTTCAACAAAGTGCCCTTTTCACCGGGCTTCCACGGTGGTGGTGGGGGTGACATCATCGAAGGCCTAATCCCCCACCCCCCTCCAGTGGGCAGCAGCAAGATCAGCAATTGTGACATCACCGCCATCAACCACCGTTGATGATGCCCCCCCAATCCCTCATTGTCTGCGTGTGTGTGGTCGGATGACTCACACGGATTCCCAGCATCGTGTGCCCTCTTGGCTCCTCTGTGATTCACTTGCCCATTAAGAGGCGCCAGGGCCGTGCTTAAATCTCTATAAATCCCCCTGAGTTAGCGGCGGGCGGGCGAGAGAGGAATTGCCGACACTGCAGTGGGTTCGAGATGCTTTTCTCAGGTCTGGGCAGGCAGTGGAGGGTGAGGATGGGTGGTGGGGGTTTGTGAGTTTGGGGGGGGAGTGGTGGGGTGGGCGGTGGTGCCGCAGTGTGCGTCGCGCAGTTTTCGTTCCGTCGCGTTCTTTTGTGTGTGCGCTGCGCGTGTCACGTCGAGTTGTTCTGTTGTTGCGTGTGTTGTGCCTATCTCCTGCGTGTCTTTGTGGTGCGGGTCTCGTGTAATGTGTGTGTCATGCGTGTCTCGTGTGCGTCTCGTGTGTTTGAATGGTTGTTGACGAGTCACTTTTGCTGCAGGATGGTTGCTCTATTGTCGTCGTCTCTTCTTCTGTCCATCGCTGCCTGAAGGGACGGCCACACAGTTCAGTTGGTGCTGGTCAAAACAATAACACGGGGGGGGGGGGGACACACGCATGCACTTCTCTTTGAATTGGTGGTTTCGACAAGGCTGTGTGGAGCAATGTACATGTAAATTGGGTGGTCACATGACATGCACGCAAGGCACGATGGGATGGGAGTCGTGACCTCCTGCTGATGGTGATCCTTTGCTCTGTGCGTTGTGAAGCTTTGTTCCAGCCTACGCATTCTCCTCTTGTGAGGTGGGGGTTTTTTTTATATAATTTACACAAATTAGGCCGCGTAACCATCCGGCCATTTTTCCGTTAAACAGCCCCTCCCCCACCCGACACACAATTATAGTGTGTAACTAAAAATAGATTTTTTTGTTTGTTCCTGGGTCGTAAGTGTTATTTTATAATTGCTTATGCCTCCAAAGTACAGAAAATGGCTTATTCCCCACAAACTTTGCTTTTGTGTCCAGGACAGATAAAAAAAAAATATTTACCTATTTTCTTTGAGAAAACGTGTGCATTTGTGGGGAATAACAGCCATTTTCTATACTTTTGAGGCATAAGCAATTAAAAATTAACACTTACTACCCAGGAACAAAAATTGTGTTACATCGTGTTATCACCGTTTGGGCCTCGCCTCGCCGCCTTGGGCGGAAGATTTGACAGAACGGATCCCTGAGCCCCCCCCCGTTCCCCCAAAGTTGTTGGCGATTGAGAACAAAAGCGCCGACAGTCTCTCCGCTCGAAAACCACCTCTCCTCGACGCGTCTTCCAGGGAGTCGGCGGAAAGTCTGAACACAAAGTCCCGAAATGATCATTATCGCGACTCGCGAGTGTCGTCGACTGCAAGCGCGCGCTCAATTCACGCGGGGAAATGCGCACCCCACCCCCTGCTTGTGGTCGCCACTCACTCGGTGTGACGGCGAGCCCACTCACCCCCCGCTTTAAACCCAGATGCACGGTATTCAGGACGGAGGTTCGTGGATTTTTGTGTACCCCCCCCTTCCTTGCTCTCGCGTCGTGGTTTGTGCTTTGTACCGGGCTCCTATTGAAATATAAAAAACTAAAAATGACACTGGGAGTGGCGGGATGCGGTGCCCGCGCTAGCTCCGACCGTTCGTCTCGCGCCACCGCACATCGTCCACGCATCAACGAGCCCACGCGCTAACGAGCACGACCTCGCTAACGAGCACGACCCCCCCTCGTCCGCCTGTGCCCCCCCTTCCCCACCTCCTACCCCCGCCAGTGCCGTTTGAGAGCTGCGGCGAGGCCGTGGAGCTGAGCACCAGCGACCGGCGCTTCACGCTGGAGGCCGACGGCAGCCTGCGCGCCGCACGGACCCTGCGCCTGTCCCGCCGGCCCCTGCACCTCACGGTGAGGGCCCGCGCCGTCGGCAGCGGCCGCACCTGGGAGAGCGCCGTCAAGCTGGTGCCGGGCAAGGCCAAGCGCCGTTCCAAGAACAAGGTGAGGACATGGGGGGGGAGGGCTTGTGCGTTTTGGCGGGGGTGGGGGGGTGCGTTCATCGTCACCATCGTCACCATGGTCACCACCGTCACCATCGTCACCATCGTCAGCCTTGATCGATCCACTCCTGGATGGCGGCATTCCGAAAGCCATCGCCATCTCTCACGGGTCCTGCGCTAACTAACTATAAGCTTATTTATTTATTTTAAAAAGGTAAGGCCCGTTGAGCTACGTAGCTCTTTTTCAGAAGCGACCTGGCTACCACAAATGATAGCGCAACGAAGTGGCTTATCATCGTGTGCAAATGTATAGCAGCCAAACACTCTAAACGCGTGACGTTGGTTCTAAATGTGGAGGGAAAAGCCGGAGGACACGGAGAAAAATCCACGCGTCCACAGGGAGAACGTGAAAACTCCAAATATACAGCAGGCATCAGGGTCGGGATTGAACCCACGCCCTCCTGTATACCGGGCGAGGTAGTTAACATCTCACCACCCTGCGATGTGACTCGTCTGGTCACTGCACAGGAGGCTGATCTCTCTCTTTTTCTCTGGGTGGAATGGGTAAATAAACAACTGTACAACCGTAGTATGATTATTATTATTCCCGATGTTATCAGTGCTGCATACTTGGCTGGCACGGTGCAAGTGGCAGCTGCAGCGCTGGGTGTTAACCTTCATTGACCCCTGGAAGTGGGTGTTGGGGGGGATAGGGGAGGGGGCCCGTGGGATCAAGGGACCAGCGTGACCTTGCTGATCGAGCCGCTGCAGCTGGAGGAGAAGGAGGAGGAGGGAGCATGAGTCAGGGGGTTTGCTCTCTCACTCCCGCACTCTGGTGGGGAGCCGTGCCGATACCCCCCCCCCACCCCATACTTGAGCCCATACCCCCGCAGAGCAGCGGAATGAGTGCTGCAGTATTGCACTCAGTAGAGCGCCCGAAGGGGTTGGGGGGTTGGTGGTGGGGGGGGGGTGTCGATGATAACAGCGCCAGCTGGAACGGGGGTGGAAGGTGAGGATCGAGCGTTGCACGCGTGAGTTGGTGGTGGGGGAGGAGTCGTGGTTTTGGGGGGGGGGGAGCTGCTGGCTGACAGGTTGGAGGGGGGTGTCAATCCCCCATGGATTGGGGTTTGCGTGACAGCCCTCCAAATCCCTCTACCCCTTCCACTGCTTCCCCCCACCCCACCAACCTCCAACCCCCCCACCAACCTCCCACCCCCCCCACCAACCCACGACCTCCCCACCCCACCAAACCCTCCAACCCCCCAGCAGCACCTGTGGCGAGGGTGACGGTGCCACTTTGGAATCCGTGCTGGCACAATGGCCGAGTGTTCTTACCTCCGTCTGCCATCCTCACCACCGCCACCACCACAGCTGTTCCCTCCCTCTCCCATGCCCCCCCCCCACCCCGCTCCACACCGCCTTAACGGATCACTTCCTGCACCACGCAGCTTTGCGTCGTGCCTAATGAGCACCGGGGGTTAATTGAGTCCACGACCTCTGACCCCCTCCTTGCCCCCCCCCCCCCCCCACCGTATAACCGGAGTGGCTGAACGCAGCGTTTGAAGTAGCGTTGAGACGACAGAGAGGTACTGCTGCGATGTATCGTACACAAAGCGAAGGAGGGACGTGAGCACGCCTTGTAGGAGCGCAGTTCCGGTGTGAGCAACGTGTCCTCACCACGCGTAAGTTTTTATCCGCAGCCAGCGTTACGATTCGGAGTTTATTTTCCGGGCTTAGGCCGCTCAACGATCCGGCCAAATTTGTGTCGTTAAGAACACCCCCACCACCTGAATCGGCGTGGTTATAATGAGCTCGTTATTCTTAATTTCGCCTCGAAATTGCAGATTAGAGGTCGGAGGGCAATTAAACTATTTCAAACTAGGGGCTATATAGCTCGTTTTCAGAAGCGTCCTGGCCACAAATTATAGCCCGATGAAGTGGTTTATCACATGCACATTTTTAGCATCCAAATACTACTCCCAAGCACACGTTGATTCTAAATGTGGAGGGAAAACCTGCAAGAACTGTAGAAAAATCTACGCGACCACGAGGAGAACATGCAAACTTTAAATACACAGGCACTGTCAGGGTCGGGATCGAACCCACAACCTCCTGCATACGAAGCGTGAGGTAGTTAACATCTCGCCACCGTGGAGAAACGTGAAGTAAACAACTTGGCACACACGGCAATCTTCAGGTTCAAGGGCCGAGGAAAATGGGACCGGTTGGCCGGTGTTGGTGTTGTCCACACGTGGCCCAACGCAACCAACGTTGCTTGTAGAATCCGTAACGTTGACCGCGAAACAGAGGTCGCAAACGGGTTTTGATTCCTTACCCGTACCCGGCCACACCAGGGTCGCAAACGGGTACCCGTACCTGTACCTGGCCGGGTACGGGTAGCCGGGTATTGGGTAGGGTACGGGTATCGGGTACCCGGTTGCGACCTCTGCCGCGAAACCCCCCCCCCCCCCCCCACGTGATGAAAGGGGGGGGGGGGGGGGCCTGGGTGGATTTCGAGTGGTGAGGTGCGGCAGTCACAAAGTCGCATGAGAGAGAGAGTGGGCCGTGTGCGTCGTCACCGTTTGCGTCGTTCTAACGGACTCGCCGCACTGCTGCCCTTCCGCCGCTTTGCCTCGCAGGGAAAGCACGGGGGCACGCCCAAGCAGGAGATGGAGGAGATGGAGCGCGAGGAGCACGAGGAGGAGCACGAGGCGGTGGGCGTCGGCGCTGCGGGGGAAGAGGAGGCGGCGGCGCACGAAGACGACGGCAGCGTGCTCATGTTCCACCAGCTGCGGCGCGGCAAGCAGCACCGGCAGAAGCGCGGCTGGGTCATCCCGGCGATCAACGTCCCCGAGAACGACCGCGGGCCATTCCCCAAGCAGCTGGTGCAGGTAAAGGCCCCCTCTACCCCTCCCCCCTTCCACTCCCCCCGCCCCCCCACCGGTGTTTTGGCACGCGGCGGAGGAAGACCACAGGGTGGTAGCGGCAGTTCGGCGGTGGTGACGCTCGCACCTCGCAGCAAGAAAGGGGGGCCTGGGATCGATTCCCAACTCGGGTGGCCTGCTGCCTACATTCACCCCCCTGTTCAGCAGTGTGTGAATGTCATGCGTTGGTGAGTGTAAGGGTGAATGTGTGTGTGTGTGGCATGTGGTGTATGTATCTCTGGGGTTTGTGGTGTATTTAGCATGCAATATATCGGCATGTGATGTTTGTGTGTGTGTGTGTGTTTACATGTATATATGTTGGGGGAGCGGTGGCCGATTGGTTAGCACGCATTGCGCTCTGAATTTGGTGACGTGGGTTTGATTTCCACTTACAGATAACACCCAGTAACGATTCTAGATTTGAAGCTTTCGTGACTGCAAGGATTCATATTCTTAGGTTTTTTCGGTAAAGTCACGTAGGTAAAACATTAAAATTAATAAAAGTAAAATAAAATGAAATAAAAATCACGACGTTTCGGAGGCAACACAAGCTTCCGTCTTCAGGTGGAACCGTCACAGCCACGACAGCTGTATCAAGTAAATGAGAGATTGCAGGAGCTACCACTCCGTTTATATAATGGTTGGAGAGGGGGGGGGGAAAGGGCCAAGTAAAGCACACTTTTTATTCATCGAGTAAGGTGACGGTTATCTGAACTTGTCCTGGGCCTCCCCGAGGTCGACTTGCTCTAAAGCCAGTACCCTGTGCGATGTATAACAGTCGCCACTGGGGAGATAAAGGTGGCCGAGCGTGTTGATAACCACACACCACACCCCCTCGAGTGCCATGCCGGCATTTGTATTTGCTGCTGCTCGCTAACAACACTTGCCCCAGCAGTTTGTTGAAGGCTATCCGGGGTCTCTTTACGTACGTGTATACACGTGACGTACGAGCGTAGCTATCGTGCAGAGCGTAACGCCGCCCCCTGCCGCCTTTCCCACCCCATCTGCGCCTTCCCCGTGTGCGCTCACGCTCGCTCGCGCGTGCGCCCCCACAGATAAAGTCGGACACGCACGGGGAAATCCGCTACAGCATCGTGGGGCCCGGCGCCGACCAGAACCCCATGGGGGTGTTCATCGTGGACCCCGTGACCGGGCGCCTCTCTGTCGCCAAGACCCTGGACCGTGAGCTCATCGCAGAGTATCTGGTGAGGCAGCCCCCGCCCCCCCCCTCCCGCCCACCCCCACTGAACCGTGTCTCACCCACGCGAGCACACCCATGTGTGTTCGCGTAGTGAGGGCCAGGCCTCTATTGCGGAGTTTGCTCATTTACTGGCCCCCGGACCACTCGGTCAATGTTAACATTTCCATGGTGCAACCCCCCCCCTGCCCCTGGTGACAAAACAACATTCACTTCTCTCTCTAAATACCAGTATTACAAAATTATATTAATATTAACGGCACGTAAAAAAAACCATTAACGCAGCTAGAACGGTTTTGTTTTTTTAGGCGGAGAATTTAGATCTCAGGATTCGGGTAGTTTAATCGGGGTGGTTTACATAATTTAATTTACAATTTTAAATATCACGAGTAAAATATTAATGTCCGAAACAAGTAGCATCGCAGCCCAGCGGACCTCCAGGAGGTACCGTTCCGAACTGTCGGTGGTCCAGGTACTACCCTTAGAGAACCAACGCTCTAGAGGGATGTTTGGCCAACTCTAAACATCCCAACGTCGGCGACTACAACCACATCACCACCACCACCACAACAACAAGAAGACGCAGGGACAAAAGACAAAGGATCCCTTGTATAGCGTGTCGTGGACGGTTGAGGCAAGTGCTATTAGCGAGCACCACATGAAGGCCAACATTGTGCAGGACGGGGTGGGTGGCCAGCAACCACCCTTTTGTCTCCAGAGTGGCGATGTTTACACAACGAGACCCAGGGGCAGACAGGGCAGTCGGGGGCAGCACCAATGGCAATGGGACCCAGGGGCAACCAGGGCAGCACCAATGGCGATGAAAACCAGGGCGCCTGACACCTACCAGTCCCCACGCGCTTTCTCGCATCCCCGCGTGTGTATCGCACGTGCGTGCGTTGCGTGTAACGCGCGTGTGCGTTGCGTGTGCGTTGCGTGCCCGCTGCAGCTGAAGGGCCACGCGGTGGACATGAACGGGCGTCCGGTGGAGAGCCCCGTGGACCTCGTCATCAACGTCATCGATATGAACGACAACCGGCCCGAGTTCGCCACGCCCGTTTTCCAGGGCTCCGTGGCTGAGGGCTCCCCACCAGGTACGGCGTACGGACGGGCGCGGTGGTGAAGGTGGTGATGAAGGTGGTGATGAAGGTGGTGATGAAGGTGGTGATGAAGGTGGTGATGAAGGTGGTGATGAAGGTGGTGATGAAGGTGGTGATGAAGGTGGTGATGAAGGTGGTGATGAAGGTGGTGATGAAGGTGGTGGTGGCAGGGGTGGGGGTAGAGAATGTGGCAATGGGGGACTGTGGTGGTGATGGTGGTAGTGGCAGTGGGGATATTGGTGGTGAATGTGGTAGAGGTGGCAATAGGCATGGTGGTGATGTTGGTAAAGGAGGTGATGGTGGTGTTGGTGATTGTGGTGGTGGTGGTGCTGATTGATAACAATGGTAATGATGTTTATGATTTAACAAATGAAGCTGGTTTAAATCATTATGATTGTGATGACATTATTTATAATATCCTTGATCGTGGATGTTGATCGTGGATATGGTGGTGGTTGTGATGCGAACGAATATAAAGTTTATATTCTTGGGTCTTTCGGTAAAGTCACGTAGATAGGTTCAAGAAAAATAACAACCTCTCTACGTGACTGTTTTTTTCTCTCCACCTGAAGAAGGACCGCTTATATTGCGATCGAAACATCGTGGGGTTTTTACTTTTAATTTTCGATTTTTGTTTCCTATCTACGTGACTTTACCGAAAGACCCAAGAATATGAATTCCTGCAGTCACGAAAGCTTTAAGTCAAGAATATAATGTTTGTTCTTGATAGTAACGATGTCCATGCCTCCCTCCCCTGCCCTCCCTGCCTTCCTCCCTCCCACGGCAGGCACGCCGGTGATGACGGTCACGGCGAGTGACAAGGACGACGCCTTATCGGCCAACGGCATGATCCGCTACAAGATCATGTCGCAGGTTCCCAAGATGCCCTTCGACCACATGTTCACCATCAACAACGCCACGGGCGTCATCAGCACCATCGCCGCCGGGCTGGACCGCGAGGTGGGTTATCACGCGGCAACCGTCGCTGATTGGCTGATTTCGGTCCAGAGGGTGGTGGCTAATCTCCGGGGTTGTGTACAGTGTTACATTTGTGTTTTCAGTGTGTATGTCTGTCGCGCACCATACGTATGTGCGAGGGAAGGACAACAGGCTTAACACGAAAAGCAGATCTAAAGAAACGAGTTTGTTTTCAGTCTAGATTTGAAAGTGCATAGCTCCAGTGGCCATGTGTCTTGGAAGCTATCGTGTCGCGGCTAGCACACACTGCGCTACGAACCCGGGGACCTGAGTTCGATTCCCGCTCACGGTCCAACACCAGTGACGGTCGACTCAGCCTCAAATGAGTACCTGCTGCAGTGTGCAAACATCCCCACTAGGGAGACAAAGGCGGCCGGGCGTGATGTTGGTCACCCACCTCCTCGTGTGGCGTGCCCGCCTTCCATAGTTACTGCTCGCTTTACAGCACTTGCCCCACAGGTCTGTTGAGGCTACACGGGAATCTTTGTCCTCGTTGTTTATCTTTAAAGGTTGTGTCTGTGTGCCCCGTGTGTAGAGGACGCCGCAGTACATGCTGGTGGTGCAGGCCTCGGACATGGAGGGTGACCCGGACATCGGCCTCAGGAACACGGCCACCGCCATCGTCACCATCACCGACAAGAACGACAACGCCCCCGAGTTTACGAGCAGAACCGTACGCACTGCCGCCACCACACTCACCGCACACGACCACACCGCACCACCACACTCACCGCACACGACCACACCGCACCACCACACTCACCCCACACGACCACACCGCACCACCACATCACCCACCTAGACTTAACATGGCCCGTAGACTAACATTGCATGTAGATTTAAATTGCACGTAGGCACAAATGGCCCGTAGGCTTACATTGCCTCTAAATTAACATTCGCCATCGACTAACATTTCCCGGTTGGCGAGATGTTAACTTCCTTGTGTGGTATGCGGAAGGTCGTGGGTTTGATCCTGACCCTGATGCCTGTATATTTGGAATTTGCATGTTCTCTCCGTGGTGGTTGTGTGGATATTTTTTTCCCCGAGTCTTGAGGGCTTTCCCTCCACACTTACAATTTAATGTGCGTTCAGAGCTGTTGTATATATTTCCACGCGATGATGAGCCACTTCGTTGAGCTAGCATTTGTTGGCTAGGTTGCTTCTAAAAACAGAGATACATAGCTCCCTGTGGGGCCTTACCTGGTAAAAGAAAAAATATCTATTTATATTTGAGACGGGCGGAACAATGATCTTAAGACGTCCCCCTCCCCCCCCCCCCACCGTCTCCGCCCCGCCACAGTTCAGCGGCACAGCGCGCGAGAACGCGGTGAACGTGACGGTGACGACGCTGACGGTGACGGACACGGACGAGCCCGGCACGCCGGCGTGGCGCACCCGCTATGTCATCCGCGGCGGGGACCCCGGCAAGAACTTCGCCGTGGAGACCGACCCCCGCACCAACGACGGCAGGCTCTACGTCGTCAAGGTGAGGGGCACGGTGGAGGGCGGTGGGGGGGGGGGGGGTCATTCACGCACCGCCGCGGCGGAGACGGTGATGGTGGTTGGGTAGTGACAGTCGTGGTGATGATGAGGAGTTGGTAATAGTGGTGGTAGTGATGACGACGGTCATGGTGATGGGGTAACGTCGGTGATGGTGATGATGATGGGGTAGTGGTGGTGGTGGTGATAATGGGATGGTAATGGGGCTCTGGTGATGGTGCTGATTATAGAGTAGTGGTGGTGATGATGGGGGTAGTGATGGTAATGGTCGTGGTGGCGTGGAGGGTGATGCGGTGATAATGGTGATGGGTGTGGGGTCGCGATGTTGTTGATTGGGTGGTGATGGTGGGAGAGGTGGCGTGATGGTGGTGATGCGATGACAGGGTAGTGATGGTGAATGGGGTGGCTGATGTTGAAGGGAGGTTGACATGGCAATAGTGGTGATGGTCGCGTGTTGACGATAGCGATGGAGGTGGCAAGGCGAAGTTCGTGGTGATGTTGCCGATGGGTGACGGCGGTTAAGACGTGGGGATGGTGGTGATGATGACGGTGGCTATAATATGACTGGTGTTGGTGATGACTGTGCAGCAGTCGTGGCGATGTTGGCGATGACACAGCGTTTGATTGGTGGGAGGGTAACGTTTGTGTTGTGTGTACGCCGCAGCCCTTGGACTTTGAGAACTCGTCGAAGTACAACCTCGTCATCGCCGCGGAGAACGAGGTGCCGCTTGAGAGCGCGCAGTTCGGACCGGCGAGCACCGCGACCGTCACCGTGAGTGCCCCCCCCGCGGCCCCCCACTGCCCCCCACTGCCCCCCGTGGCCTCCCGCAGCCCCCCACAGGTTTCGCCCCACAGCTTCCTGTGCCACTTGCGGCCCAGATTTTGAGTCCACGCATCAGCGCAGAAACTGATACCACCTCAGACAGCTAAACTGTAAATTTCGATTTAAAGCTTTCGTGACTGCAGGGATTCATCTTCTTGGTTCTTTCGGTAAAGTCACGTAGAAGGAAATAATAAAATGATGAAAATAAAACGTAATAAAATACAATTCTCACGACGTTTCGGCCACAACGCAAACAGCCGTCCTCAGGTGAAGAACAGGTCTGTCGGAAAGACAGCGTCTGAATGGCCGAAACGTCGTGAGAATTGTATTTTATTATGTTTTATTTTTATTATTTTATTATTCCCTTCTACGTGACTTTACCGAAAGAACCAAACAGAGCAAAACTGTAGTCGTACCCATTTATTATTTATAATTTCCTCGGCCAATGAGAGTGAATTACTTAAAACACCCCACTTATTTTCTTTTTTCAAGTCCAGTAGACCTCTTTCTCACTGGTGTCTCCTGGACATCTGGAAAAAAGAGCTTTATAGCTCACCGGATTCCTCCAGTGTAAATAAATATTCCTATTCTGAAGTGGTCCTGTTGTGCAATTCTGTGTCGGAATGTATGTCGTGTGTGTGTTTCTGTGTGTCCCTGTCGATAGGTGTTCACAGGTGCTCTCTCGCTAACAGCGCTTGCTTCTACAGTCTGTTAAGCCTATACGGGGTTATCTTTGTCTTTGTATGTGTACCCGAGTGTTTTTGGACACGGTCCCATCAGCGTTGGCTGGGTCATGTTGCCCGTGTGCCCTGCCAACGCATACCCACGCAGCTTCTGATTGGCCAGACAGAGGGGGCTTAAACGGGCACGGCACGGGCTGGAGAATTGATCGACTGATGCGATGGAGGATGTGGAGCTGAGTGGACTTGCCGATGACCGGTACCAGCGGTGTCAAGATGGTCCCAGTGATCCACTCGTTATTGTGAGCGTCACTCACAATAACGAGTGGATCACTGGGTAGCTAAAATACAGCAAGTTGGCACAGTGGAGAGCACAGATGGTGCATCTGCCAGTTATCTCCGTAAGCCAACCCATGGCACCTGGATCTGTCCCGTGACCTCCTGCCAGTGAGCCTTCAACACTTGGCCGTAAAGTACACTTAGCCTGGCACAGGCGCTGTGGTGACAGTCACCACCACTTGGTGGTGAATAGCGGCTGTTGTTGCTTTTGTGTGTCCGTGTGTGTGTCTCCTGTATGCCCCTGTGTTTATGCCCGAGTGTACTTTTCTGTGTGTCTGTGTGTCTCTTTGTAAAATCAAATATTTCAGCCGGATAATCCCTTAAGATGGAAGCATCCCATGTGCACGGGTGGTTCAGCGAGTGAACACGCGTGTGTGTGTGTATGCCCGGTAGTGCAGCGGTTAGCGCGCTGCGCTACTTACCTGGGGAAGCGAGTTTTATTCCCGTTCACGGCCACCAACACCAATGATGATTATCTGAACCGGTCCTGGGCCTCCGCCGAGGTCATCTCAGCCTGAAATGAGTACCTGGTGCGGTGTGCGAACATCGCCACTGGGGAGACCAAGGTCGGCCGGGCGTAGTGCCGGCCACCCGCCCCCTCGAGCGCCGTTCCGGCCTTCATAGGTGCTGCTCGCTAACAGCACTTGCCCCAACGGTCTGTCAAGTCTACACGGGGGGGATCTTTGTTTTTGAAGCATAGTGCTGGTGATAGCCGCACCACCTCCCGCACGACCGCCCACACCGTGACCCCCCCCCCACCTTAACAGGTGCTCGCTAACAGCCCCCCCTCTCCCCCGCCCGGTAGGTGACGGTGGAAGACGAGAACGAGGGGCCGGTGTTCGAGCCGCTGCGGCGCGAGGTGAAGCTCGCCGAGGGCCTCCCCGTGGGCCACCACGTGACCAACATGGTGGCACGTGACCCCGACACCGCGCAGAGGCAGACCGTGCGGTGAGGCCTTCCCAGCCACCCTCCCGTCCGCTCCCGTCGCCGTCCGGCCAGCCAACCTTTCCTCCCACCCTCTGTGTGTGTGTGTGCATGCGCGCACCTCACCTGGTGTGTGTGACTCACTCTGTTCAGCTGATCGCCTGCGTGAACTCTGCACCTGTGCGAGACTCACCTGTGTGTGCGCGCGCGCACCTCACCTGGTGTGTGTGACTCACACTGTTGGGCTGATCGCCTGCGTGAACTCTGTGCACCTGTGCGAGACTCACCTGTGTGTGCGTGCGTGCACCTCACCTGGTGTGTGTGACTCACACTGTTGGGCTGATCGCCTGCGTGAACTCTGTGCACCTGTGCGAGACTCACCTGTGTGTGCGTGCGCGCACCTCACCTGGTGTGTGTGACTCACACTGTTGGGCTGATCGCCTGCGTGAACTCTGTGCACCTGTGCGAGACTCACCTGTGTGTGCGTGCGCGCACCTCACCTGGTGTGTGTGACTCACTCTGTTGGGCTGATGGCCTGTGTGAACTCTGTGCACCTGTGCGAGACTCACCTGTGTGCGCGTGTGTCTGCGTGCTGGGGCCGCGCGCAGCTACAAGAAGCTTTCTGTGCCGGGCGACTGGCTGGACATCGACCCTGTGAGCGGCAAGGTGACCACGGCCGTGGTGCTTGACCGCGAGGCGGCCCTGGTGCGGGCCAACACCTACACGGCCACCTTCCTGGCCACGGATGATGGTGAGGGCCTCCCCTCCCCCACACTGCCCCCCTGTTGATGGACACGCCCCAGCCACACGGCAATAACACATTTGCTCGGTTATTCACTCATTCGTCATCACACCCTGCTGACTCGCCATCACTCGCTCACCATCACTCGCTCGCCGTCACTAACTCGCCATCACTAACTCGCCATCACTCGCTCACTCACTCGCCATGACTCGCTCACCATCACTCACTCACCATCACTCGCTCACCATCACTCACTCACTCGCCATGACTCGCTCACTCGCTCACCATTACTCGCTCACTATCACTCACTCGCCATCACTCACCATCACTCACCATCACTCACTCACCATCACTCGCTCACTCACTCGCTCACTCGCTCACCATCACTCGCTCACCATCACTCGCTCACCATCGCTCGCTCTCCATCACTCGCTCGCCATCGCTCGCTCTCCATCACTCGCTCGCCATCACTCGCTCACTCGCTTGCCATCACTCGCCATCACTCGCTCGCTCACCATCACGCCGCGCTCACTCGTTAGCGTGGTTGGCTATTTTTTAAAGGCGCAATTCACAAAATTATTGAGTGGGGTGCGTCTGTAGGTAGACTCAGCCTTAAAATGCATACCTGGTGCGGTATGTGTGTGTGTGTAACTGGTCCGCGTCTGGAGCGGTGATGGAAGGGCCGGCGCACTGCACTACAAACCCGGCAACTCGAGTTCGATTCCGCTCACGGCCAACATCCTTTGGCTGACTCGGCCTCAAACGAGAGTACCCGGTGCCATGTGTGTGTAAACATCGTCACTGGGGAGACAAAGGCGGCCGGGTGTGGCAAACTGCCCACCCAACCCCGTGCCGGCCTTCACAGGTGCCGCTCGCTTACACGACAGCGCTTGCCTCAACGGTTTGTCGAAGGCTAACGAGTGGTGGGGGCGCGCGGGGATCTTCGCCTTTGCGTGCCGGTGAGAGCAGGCAGCCCCGTGGCGAGCGGCACGGGAACGCTGGTGCTGCTGCTGTCGGACGTCAACGACAACGCCCCCATCGTGTGGCCCGACGAGGCCATGGTGTGCGACGTGCGGGGCAGCGTCGTCAACGTCACCGCCAGGGACGCCGACGAGGACTTCAACGGCAGTCCCTTCAGCTTCCAGCTACCGCCCGGCAACCCCGACCCCAACAACAACTGGACCATCCACCGGGTCGACGGTGCGTGGGGCCCCCTGCCCCCCCTCCCCCCCCGTTGCCCGTGTGCCCTTGCACTGCACTGCACCACCCACACTGCCATGCCCGGCTGTGGGGACCGCAAACCGCTTGCTCGCAATCACACCGCACTCACTCGCCATCACTCGCCCACCGTTACTGGTTCTCCATCACGTGGCTCCCACTCACTCGCAATCACACCGCACTCACTCGCCATCACTCGCCCACCATTACTGGTTCTCCATCACGTGGCTCCCACTCACTCGCAATCACGCCGCACTCACTCGCCATCACTCGCTCACCATCACTCACTCACCATCACTCGCTCACCATCACTCGCTCACCATCACTCGCTCACCATCACTCGCTCACCATCACTCGCTTACCATTACTGGCTCGCAATCACGCCGCACTCGCTCGCCATTGCTGGCTCACAATCACGCCGCACTTGCTCGCCATCACTCGCTCACCGTTACTGGCTCGCCATCACGTGGCTCCCACTCGCTCGCCATCACTCCTGCGCTTAGCACTGCCCCCTACCCTGTCCCGCTGTGCCCCCTCGCATTGCTGTTGGCCTGTGTTGTCAGCAGAGGGCGACGCAGCAAAACCCAATGCCCTACTCAAGGATTGCTTCATATCTCGCCGAATGTATTTTTTTTCTCGTGAACCGACTGAGCGTAGGGGTGGCACGCGACTGAGCAGGAGCGAGCAATAGCCATAGCCAGTGGTATACTGGATGTGGTGTGCCGGGTGCGGAAATATTTTCCGGGCTTGCCGATCCAGACGGATCTCCATTCCCCCTCTTCTCCCCTCGGCTTGAGCCATAAGACAGAGTCGGCAAATCCTGCCAGATTGATTGATGAAATACAGCAGCGGAGTGCAGCATTGCAGGCGCGAAAGCTCGTCATTCTTGCCCAGATCACCAGTCCAAAATAACTGAATGCGTGGTCCGTTTTTGTTGATCTGTACCTCACGACTCGTTGACGAGAGTTGAGAAAATGTGGCCACCCCGAATGTTTGGAGCCGACGGCGGTTTCAGAATGAGCAGGTGGTCTGGGCAAGGCTGAGAGACACTTGAGCACGCGGCACCGCCGTGCACCCACCAGAGGTCGCAAACCGGTTTTGATTCCTTACCCGTACCCGGCCGCACCAGGGTTGCAAATGGGTACCCGTTCCCTACCCGTACCCTACCCGAAATGAGTGACAAACGGTTACTCACCAGTGACTCACGGCGTACCCGTACCCGGCCGCACCAGGGTCGCAAACGGGTACCCGTACCCGTACCCGGCCGGGTACGGGTAGCCGGGTATCGGGTAGGGTACGGGTATCGGGTACCCGGTTGCGACCTCTGGCACCCACCCCCCCCGCGTGTGTCGTCAACTCTTGTTTCCAGGAATTCTTATTCCGCCACGGGTTTTTGCCGTCGCGCGCACACTTCCCGCCCTCGGCGTACCGCGGAACATTTTTCCGCTCCACGCTCACCGCTCGCTCGCACCGCGCTCTGCTCCCTACCCTCCCCCTCCCCTCCCGGCCGGTCTACAGGCAGCAGCTCCCAGCTGCGCATGAAGGTGGCGCTGCCGGAGGGCCTGTACTTCGTGCCGCTGCTCATCTCGGACTCGGGCAACCCGGCGATGAGCGCCGTGTCGGAGCTCGAGGTGAAGGTGTGCGCCTGCGACCAGCACGGCGACTGCGTCAAACGCGGCGCCATCGCCGCCGCCGGCCTCGGCACCGGCGCCATTGTGGCCATCCTCCTCTGCCTGCTGCTGCTTCTCAGTGAGTTCGTCGTCGGCGTCGACGTCGTTGGCATCGTCGGGGGGGCCCGGTGCTGCGGACGTGGCCCCCCCCCGGCACGGGGATTCGTGTGGCGCGATTGCCGTTCGTTTGCGGAGGCTTTCGCGGTTTTACCGGGGTGGGCCGCCCCAGTTAAACGCAGCGGCCGTGTGTGTTAACCACATATGCCAAGCATAAAAATGATTCTGCAAATGACCCCGCTCTGACCCGTGGACCCCCTGCCACCCCGTGTCTCCCTGGCGCGTAGTCCTGGTGCTGCTCTTCGTCGTGTACAAGAAGCGCCGCGACAAGGACCGCGTCGCCAAGCAGCTGCTCATCGACCCCGAGGACGACGTGCGCGACAACATCCTCAAGTACGACGAGGAAGGCGGGGGGGAGGAGGACCAGGTGAGAAGTGCCACCGTACGCGGGCGGTGCGCTGTGCTTGCACGTCGACGCGGTGCGTTTACGCGGTTCCGATGGTGCGGAGAGACGGTTGTGCGGTGGTGCGGGTTGGGACGGTGGTGCGGTTTGACTGTCCGGCGAGAGGCTGTCTGGCGGCAGTGCCGGCGTGTCCACGCGCCGGTGAGGCGGCGGTGAGATGGTGAGCTGGCGTGACGGCGCGTCTGCGTGTCTGCCGGTGCGTGCCGCAGGACTACGACCCGTCGCAGCTGCAGCACGTGAGCGAGCTGCTGCCGCTGGAGGCGCCGTACGGCAAGGGCCCCGGCGTGCGCCGCCTGGACGAGCGGCCCTCGGTGGCCGAGCCGTGCTACCCGTCCCGCTCGGGGGCGCCGCACCCCAGCGACATCGGCGACTTCATCAACGAGGTGGGTGGTGTGGGGGGGGTGGTGGGGGGGGGAGGTGGCAAGCGCCGCACGCACTTTGAGGGTTGGAACCGTACACAACCACACCCAGCGCCGCGCACGTAAACCACCACTCCGCCACCACCACCACGTCACCGTCACCACGTCGCCACCACCACGTCGCCACCACCACGTCAAACGATGCACACAGCACAAGACGAAGGTCCCATACCCCCCAGTCGAGGAGCCTACGAATGCCGGCACAGCACACGGAGGGGGGTGGGTGACTAGCACCATGCCCGCTGGCCGTCTCTGTCTCCCCCCAGTGGCAATGTTGACACACTGCACCCGGTGCTCATTTGAGGCTGAGTCGAGCTAGGGGGGGTGGAGGCCCAGGACCAGTTCAAATAATCGTCACTGGTGTTGGCCGTGAGTGGGAATCCAACTCGGGTCGCTGGGTTCGTAGCGCCTCCAATTAGCACAGTTGGCTACTCACGGTGCAATAGAAGTTCTACATATACACATACGTAGTGCAGTGCACTGACCACTACACCACCGCTCCACCACACGGTCCTCAGCGTGTAGATGGTGATGTCATCGTGATTGTGGATGACGCCGTTGTTGGCGATGTAATTGCTGATCTTGTTGATGCCATGGCTACCTTTTGTCATTGCTACTTATGTCATCGTCGTCGTCATCGGCTGTCGATGTTAATGACTCCATTCATCATCATTGCTGATGCTGTCACAAACATCAGTGTCACCATGCTTACCCCGAGCTCTCATACTCTGATGGTGCATTGTCTTTGAGTTGTGCGCCTTTTGGCGTCATCTGGTCCAACACCATGTGAGACTAGGCTCTAAGGAAAGCTGTCTCGGGTGTGGACCAATCAACTTCAAGGACAGTGCATACATTATCAGAGTTATGTTTTTTGTTTGCATTATGGCTGCAGGTATTGTGGTCTATGCAAACATGTCAGTTTTGTTGCCAGATAGAAGGCTAAAAAAACAATTATCATCAGTGTCGTCATCATTTGCTGTCGATGTTGATGACGTCATCGTAGTTGCCGATCTCGGTGTCTTTGCCGACGTTGTTAACGTCGTCCTCGTTTGTGGTGGTGGTGGCGGTGGGGGTCGGGCTCGCAGGGCCTGCGCACGGCCGACAACGACGCGACGGCGCCGCCGTACGACTCGCTGCTCGTGTTCGACTACGAGGGCGCCGGCTCGGTGGCCGGCTCGCTCAGCTCGCTCAACTCGTCCAGCTCGGGGGAGGGCAGGCGGCGACCACGACTACGACTATCTCAACTCGTGGGGGCCGCGCTTCCGCAAGCTCGCCGACATGTACGGCGGCGGCTATGACGACTGAGACCCCCCCCTCACCCCCACACACCCTGCCCGCCCCCACCACCACCTCCTCTCAACCCCACGTCATTATCCCCCCCGCGCACCTCCACTCACTCCCCCTCCCACACCCCAGCGCCCACCCAGCTACCCTCTCCAGCCTTCGAGACAAACCAACACAACGCCCCCTGACCGGCCGCCCACCGCATCGCACCGGCTGGACCGCCGATCCGCCAGCCCGCCCGCCAGCCCGCCCGCCTGTCCGCTGACGGCAATTTTGATTTTGGAGGCCACTACTTTTTTCTTCTTTTGGTGGGGGGCGGGGGGGGTATAACCCGAGTGGAGGACGAGGCGACGGTACGTGTAACAACTTCGTGGTACGAGGGACGAGGCGACGGTACGTGTAACGACTTCGTGGTACGAGGGCGACGTCGCGGTGGTCTTTCCCCCCCCCCCCCCGCGGGTGCCCGGTTTTGGGGAAATCTGCGTCAGTTCACGACGTCTTGGGGGGGGTGGAGAGAGTGGGCGCGCTTGCGGCGACGCGATTCCAGATCTCCAGGTACGGATGAAGCCGATCCTGCGTCGGGTTCACGGTGTGTTCAGAAATTCGTGGACAGCTTTTTCGAAAGTCCGCGTCGCGACCCTGGACGACGCGAGGTTCCTTATCGACGAATTGGCGACGCCGAACGTTGGTTTGAGACTAAACCGGCTCGCCCGCCCACCCCGCGAGTTGTACCGCAAGAACCACGGTCGCCGGTTAAAGAGGGTGAGCGGGGCCGGGTGAGCGGGAGGGGGGTGAGCAGGGGGGTGGGGGGTGAGCGATTTTAAGCGAGCGCCGTCGGTAACACACTCCAGTTGGTACGTCGGAGCGACTCCCCCAAGCGACGGCGGTGCCCGTGGGTTCCCAGGTGGCCCCCACCCCCCCAACTCTAATCGTAGTCAAGTCCCCCCCCGCACTCCACAACTCCAGCCTCATCAACCATCGTCGGCCGAGACGATGACATCCCAAATCCCCCCCCCCGCCGCCCCTGCCGCCAACTCGCTCCCCTCTTGACCTCTTCCACCCCCCTTACCCCACCCCCCTCCCCTCTTGACCTCCCCTGCCAGTGTCGTGGTCGACTCTGGTCACCACAAGCGGTGGATCGAAAATGAGTTAGGATTTTTTTTTATTGGGCCGTACCAAGTCCCACCCATAAAAGGGGGGTGTTGGGTCGGGAAAGGGTTAGGGTCGTGCCACTTTTGAGAGAGATGGAATCCGGCTGTACCAACCAATCACTTCACCCAGGGAGGGGGGAGGAGGGAGGGGGGGGATTGGCTCAACCGTGAGTGGTTGCCAGCAGGGGGTGATGTGCAAGTTGCACTACGCCACCCCCTGCGTTTTGAATGGTACGACCAATCACTTTTAGGCGGTCGGGAGGGGTGGGGTCGCGAGCAATGCGGCCCCCCCCGCCCCGTTTTCCGCGCTGTGGAAATGTAAGCTTTATAATAAATTGGCGTTAATTAAATACACTTAAGAAAAATAAGGTGTGAGAGAGCGAGAGAGTGAGAGAAAATATAAAAAAATGTTCAAAAAAAAACAATGTTGATTTGAGCTTGGCTTCGGTAGCTGTTAACTCGACAAGTACAAATTAATTTAAGTGCCTTTTTGGGTTCAGCATTGAGCGCCGGCGCAGCACAGCAACCGTGCCAGGCGGCATCGGGGGGGGGGGGGACAGCTGACCGTGGCAGCAACCGCGCCCCACGGAGACGGAACCGCGTGAGGTTACAGAACCAGGCAGCACCGCACGGTGACGTGGCCGCCACGGTGACGTAACCACGGCGACGTCAAACCGTTGGTGATGGAGCCGCGCGTGGCGACGTAACCACGGTGACGGGAGCCACGCGCCGACACCGATTGGACCGTGGGTGCTAGAGCCCTCGCATCGTAATGGAACCACACTTGGTGACGGAACCGCGCTCGCGGTTACAGAACCACCACCACCACCACCCCCTCCTATCGAGACTCGCAGAGCGACAAACGGGCGTCATGCGCAGCGCACGATTGAGTGGGTACGTGAGAGCGAGTGGGTGAGTGCGTGCGAGTGAGTGCGTGCGTGCGAACGAGTGAGCCGTGTGAGAACCTTAGGTGTGGGTGTGCGTGTATTTGCGGGGAGTGGGAGCTCTACGAACCCTGCAAAGACCCGACTTTGGATTTTCCGCTCACGGGCCAACACCAGCGGAGGATATCTGCACCGGTACTGGAACTCCCCTAGGTCGACTCGGCCTCACGAGTAACCGCTGCGACGTGTAAACATCGCCACTCGGGGTACTAAGGCGTGAATCCGGCCACCCACCCTTTTTCGGGTGCCGTGCCGCCCTTAATGGGTGCTCGCTAACATCCCTTGCCCCCAACTGTCAGTTTGAAGGCTATGGGCGGGGGGGGATCTTTGTCCATTAATCTGTGTGCGTGTGGGTGTAAGCTTGGGTGTGCGAGTGTTTACGTTGATGTGAGTGTGCGCGCGGGTGCGTCTGCACATGAGTACGTGGGGAGCCGTAGTGCAGCGGTTAGCGCGCTGCGCTACGAATCCCCGGCGAGCCTGAGTTCGATTCCCGCTCACGGTTATCTGAACCGGTCGCGGGCCTCTCCCTAGGTCGACTCAGGCTTCAAATGAGTACCTGGTGCGATGTGTAAAAACATCGCCACTGGGGAGTCCGAAGGCAGTCAGGCGTGGTGTTGGACACCCCACTCCCTCGTGTGCCGTGCCGGCCTTCATAGGTGCTCGCTAACAGCACTTGCCCCAACAGTCTGTTAAGGCTACACGGGGGGGGGATCTCTGTGCGTGTGAGCGTGCGTGCGTGTGAGCGTGCGTGCGTGTGAGCGTGCGTGCGTGTGCCTGCGTGTGTGCGCGTGTGTGTGCGTGCCTGTGTATGCCTGTGAGAGTGAGTATGTGTGTGCCTGTGAGTGTGTGTGTCTGGGAGAGTGAGTGTGTGTGCCTGTGAGTGTGTGTGAATGTGTGTGTGTCTGTGAGTGTGTGTGTCTGTGAGTGTGTGCCTGTAAGAGAGTGTGTGTGAATGTGTGTGTGTCTGTGAGTGTGCGTGTCTGTGAGAGTGAGTGCCTGTGTGTGTGTGTGTGTGCCTGTGAGAGTGTGTGCCTGTGAGAATGTGTGTGTGACTGTGTGTGTGTGCCTGTGTGTGTGCCTGTGAATGTGTGAGTGTGTGAGTGCGTGTGAGTGCGTGTGACTGTGTGAGTGTGTGTGCGTGTGTGAGCGTGTGTGTGTGCCTGTGAATGAATGAATGTGTGTGTGCCTGTGTGATTGAGTGTGTGTATGTGCGTGTGTGAGCGTGCGAGAGGCGTCTACTGTAATGCGAGCGCCGTCTCCCCGCGCCGCATCTCGCCTGCCTCCCGCGGGTGAGCGTCTCGGTGCTCCGGTTACCCCGGCAACCAGGTGGGACCGGGTTGCCCGGCAACTGACACGGTTGCCCTGGCAACATTTACAGTTTCCTGGCAACCAAATTGAGCAGTTGCCTGGCAGTCGGGTGCGTGCAGTCGCTCACAGTAGTTTGATTTTATTGATGATTTTTTTTAGTTTATAGGTTTTTTTTTATTATTATAAAAATGTTTTGAGTGTTATCGTCTTCTTGTGTTTCCCCTCTTGTGTTCTTTTAGTGCAGCCGCTCCCCCCGCCCCCCTCCCCCCCCCACCGCGTAATGGGGGGCAGGGGAGGGGGGCAATGTGGGGAGAGAGAGGAGAGGGGGGGGGCGGCCCTTGTGTCAACTGCAATAAGAGGCGGCTTTTTTGTAAAGGTGTGCGCAGGTGTGTACACGTGTGTACAGTTACGCGATTCACCCCTAACGGTTTTACAATAAAAACGATGACCCCCGTTCCCTAACGCCAATGCCTCCACCGTGTGTTCACTCGCTCGCTGCACCCCAACAAAGATAAGGGTCCCCCCTATAGCCTGTAACCGACTGTTGAGGCAAGTGCTGTTTGGGAGTAGCACCTATAAAGGCCATGCACGATGGGGGTGGGTGGCCAGCACCACGCCCTCCTGGCTCGCTTTTGTCTCCCCCAGTGGCGATGTTTACACACCGCACCAGGTATTCATTTGAGGCCGGGTCGACCTAGGGGAGGCCCAGAACCGTTTCAGATAATCTTCACTGTTGTTGGCCGTGAGCGGGAATAGAACTCGGGTCACCTGGGTTTATAGCGCAGCTTAGCGCTAACCACTACACCGGATACACACGCACTCATGCACGTGTGTACGTATGTTGCACCGTTTGTGTGTTTGCGTGTGTGTACGCACCGTGTAGGAAGTGTTTTGTGTGTACAGGGACTCCTCTAGTTAGAAATATTCGACTTACGTACTTTCAGAGATACGAACAAACCTGGTCCGTTGTGTCCAATTGCCTGTTTGGACCGAGCGTCGTAAGTTCAACCGCCATGCAATAGATGGCGGTGGTGGCGGCATCTACATCTGCAGAATGTGAAGAACCAGTGGCATCTACATCTGCAGAACATGAACCAGTGGCATCTACATCTGCAGAATATGAAGAACCAGTGGCATCTACATCTGCAGAATATGAAGAACCAGTGGCATCTACATCTGCAGAATATGAAGAACCAGTGGCATCTACATTTGCAGAACATGAATCCGTGGCATCTACATCTGCAGAATATGAAGAACCAGTGGCATCTACATCTGCAGAATATGAAGAACCAGTGGCATCTACATTTGCAGAACATGAATCCGTGGCATCTACATCTGCAGAATATGAAGAACCAGTGGCATCTACATCTGCAGAACATAACCAGTGGCATCAACAGGAGATCATACAAATTTTTAAGCCATTCCCCGTGTTTAGTGTACATGTCGTACAACGCGTTTGGAATCTACTTGAGTAAAGTTGGGACTTACGAAGAAATCGATTTACGAACAGAGCTTTGGAATCGAACTCTTTCGAAAATAGAGTCCCTGTACACCATTAATGTGGGGCGTGCGTGCCTGGCAACCTGAGTTCGATTCCCGCTCATGGCCAACACCAGTGACTTATTTGAACCGGTGCTGGGCCTCCCCTGGGTCGACTCGGCCTCAAATGAGTGCCTGGTGCGCTGTGTAGTAAACATCGCCACTGGGGAGAGAAAGGCGCGTGCAAGGCCACCCGGCCCCTCGTGTGTCGTGCCCAAAAAAGTATTGGGGCTACATGGGAGATCTTTGAGTGTATCGGTGTGTCCCTGAGAACGTTATCAATCACCGCACCCCATCAACTCGAATAATAGGGTGGTCGGACACAGTTACTGGAGCCGCTGTGCTGACTTGAAACATTTGGACTGGCCCTGCCTATGCTTTCATCCTGGATATAAGCAGATTGGATTGTGCGAGGAGCTGCCAAATCCCGGAAATAATTAGACATTGTCCCGTCGGTGAGCTCCGTCGGTGAGCTCCTGCGGCAGGCGAGGCTGCATTGGCTGCGTCACGTCGCCGCATGCCCGGCCACCGCATGCCGAGTCACCGCATGCCCCAGCCACCGCATGCCCAGCCACCGCATGCCCAGCCACCGCATGCCCCAGCCACCGCATGCCCCAGCCATCGCATGCCCAGTCACCGCATGCCCAGTCACCGCATGCCCAGCCACCGCATGCCCCAGCCACCGCATGCCCCAGCCACCGCATGCCCCAGCCACCGCATGCCCGGCCACCGCATGCCCAGTCACCGCATGCCCAGTCACCGCATGCCCGGTCACCGCATGCCCAAGCATCTTCTGTCTGGCCGGATAGAGGGGGCTAAAGCTGGTGAACCACGGGCTGGAGAAGAGATGGAGCTGATGCGGTACAGGAGGATGTGGAGCCGCGTGGACTTGCTGGTGACGGGTACCAGCCGTGTCAAGATCGCCCTCTGTGGAGGAGGGGACTCGTGATGGACGCTACGGGGCAGTTGGAGGCCGTCGTCCTCCCAGTAATGGCAATAAGCCATCGATGTCTGCTTTTTTTATCGTCTTTAGTTTGCTGTCCTTCCCCTTGCACCTCTGATTAGCACGGTTGGCTACGTACGGTGTGAAAGAAATTCGACACACATACAAATTGCCAGGGTTTGGGGAGCACACAGGTGGTGAATCTGCCCGTCAGTCTCAGTCGGTCATCCCATGGCACCTCGGCCTGTCCCGTGACCTCCTGCCGGCAGCCGGAGCCTTGGAACTTGTCCCACGGACGCAGAGTGCACCTAGCCTGGCACAAACGCCGGAGGCCATTGCGCAAGTCCGGCTCGGCTGTGCTCTCACCGTAGTCGACCACGCAAGCCCCAGATCTCTGGCCACCGACCTCACGGCATGTTGTTGTTGTTCAATGTCATGCCCGGTACGCGTGGCGGCATTGCGACAGCGACGCCCGCTGTTGGCTCTGCAGGGGACGACGATGACGACGACGATGACACCGATTTGATGAATCGGCTCTGCGGCGCTGACGGTGGCTTTGGCCCGGCGATGCTTGCTGGCGCGCGCGGCACGTGGCCGGCCGAAGGTGACGGAGACGGAATGGAAGTCGAGCAGACGCACGCTGGCATCGTGACGCGTCCCACGGAGAATTGATGGGGAGAGGGATGGGGGGATGGGGAGATGGGGGGGACGGGGAGAGTGGGGGTATGGGGGGAGGTGGGAGGGGAGGGAGAGGGGTGGGGGGAGACGACGGCGAGAGGGAGACGGGAGGATGCATCGAGGGGGAGATGGGAGGGAGAGAGAGAGGACATGGAGGGGGGGTGATGGGAGATTATAGGGGAAGGGAGATGAGAGACGAGGGGGGTGAGAGGGAGGGGGGTGGAGAGAGAAAATTGGAGGGGGTGGAGATAGAGGGAGACAGGGGAGATGGAGGGAGGGAGGAGATGGGAGGGGGGAGATGGAGGGAGGGAGGAGATGGAGGGAGGGAGGAGATGGGAGGGACAGGAGGTGAGGGGTGGACGTTGGCGAGAGGCAGACGGGAGGGAGAGGGCCTGTGGCGTTTCCGCGGGGGTCCATGAACAAGGGGGGGGGACCGGGGGGGGGGCTTGCTACTGTCAGATTTAAAATCCCTCTTGGGGGGAGGGATACGTTAGTGTGATGGTGGGGAGCGGTGGCGCAACGGTTAGCGCTGCGATTCGCTACGAACGCGGCGCACCCGAGTTCGATTCCCGCTCGCGGTCAACACCGACCGGTGGCGATTATCCGAGCCGGTCCCGGGCCTCCTCCTCTAGGTCGACTCGGCCTCAAATGAGTACCTGGTGCGGTGTGTAAACATCGTCACTGGGGGAGACAAAGGCGGCCGGGCGTGGTCGCTGGCCACCCACCCCCTCGTGTGCCGTGTCGGTCTTCATAGGTGCTTGCTAACGGCACTTGCCCCAACAGTCCGTTAGAGACTACACGGGGGATCTTTGTTTTGTGTGTAATTGAGAGCGGCAGTGCTGTGGTGAGCGCACCGCGCTACGAAGCCGGCGACCCCAAAACGTTTCACGCTCACGGCCAACATCAGTGGCGAATACATAAAGCGATGCCTTGGCAAGTCCCCTAGGTCGACTCAGCCTTACACGATGATGTGGCGCTGTGTGTAGGCATCAGCACTGGGGAGACAAAAGCGGCCGGGTGTGTGTCGTGTCGGCCTTAATAGGTGCTCGCAAACACCACTTTGCCCCAAGTCTGTTAAGGCTATACGGGAGATCTTTATATGTGTGTATGTAACGGTGTGTGTGTGACGGACGAAGCCTGATTGCGGCTGCTGCTGATGATTCCTGCTGCTGATCATGCTGCTGATGATCATGCTGCTGCTGATGATACTGGTACCTGCCGATGCTGCTTATGATGTTGCTGATACTGCTGCTGATGATGTTGCTGCTGGCTGATACTGCTGTTGATGATCATGCTGTTGATGATGATCATGCTGCTGATGATGATACTGGTACCTGCCGATGCTGCTGCTTATGATGCTGCTGCAGGCTGATGCTGCTGTTGCTGATGATCATGCTGCTGCTGATGATACTGGTACCTGCCGATACTGCTGCTTATGATGTTGCTGCTGCTGGCTGATGCTGCTGTTGCTGTTGATGATCATGCTGTTGATGATGATCATGCTGCTGCTGATGATACTGGTACCTGCCGATGCTGCTGCTTATGATGCTGCTGCTGGCTGATACTGCTGTTGCTGCGGCTGATCATGCTGCTGCTGCTGATACTGCTGCGGATGACGATCTTGCTGCTGATGCTGCTGCTTATGATGATAATCCACACGGATATCTCCGCGGACCAATCAGGATGTGGGAACTGCGCGTGTCGTCATCATCCCCATCCATCATCAAACTCCCTGCACCCCCCACCCCGCCCGCCCGCCACGGCATCGTGACCGTGACGGCCGCTCTGGGAGCGAGAGAAGCAGCAGGGAGAGGAGAAGGCAGAGGGAGGAGGAATAGAGGGAGGAGGAGGAGACAGAGGGAGGAGGAGGAGACAGAGGGGGGAGGAGGAGGGCGAGAGAGCAGAAGCATCATACAGAGAGAGAGACGCGCACGCACGCACAGACGAGTGACAGAGAGCAAGGGGGGGAAGACAGAAGAGGAGGAGAGAGAGAACACGGGAGGAGGAGGTACAGGTGAGTTCACATCTGTCCTGCTCCGGTCCCCAGCCGAGCCGAGCCGGATCACACACCGGGTGGAGGAGACCCCGGGAGATTTTGCAATTCCGACTGTGGCCACGCTGATGATGCTGATGCTGCTGTTGTTGTTGTTGTTTGGTGTCGTTGTGGTGGAGAAAATAATGGTGGTAGTGATTGTGTTGTTGTGGTGGTGGTGGCGATGATGGTGATGATGATAGCGATGGTAGTGATGATGGTAATGATGTTGATGGTGGTAGTGGTATAGCTCCTGACGGTGGTTGTGGTGGTAATTGTGGTGGTGGTGATGCTAATGTCATGGTTGCGATGATGATGGCAGTGATGGTGATATGTCAATGGGGAGAATTAAGCCGCAGTGAGTGTGTTGTGATGTGGTGATGGTTGTAGTGATGGTGGTTGTGATGGTGACATTGATGATGGTAGCGGTGATGGGTTTGCTCGTGATGACGGCGCTAATGATGGCAGTGATGGTGGTGGGTAGTGATGGCGATGTCGCGGTGTTACTGTCGCCTCCATCGTCCCCCATCACGCCCCCATCACTCCGTCATCACTAGCACCATCACCCCCCCATCACCTCTCCATCACCTGCCATCACTAGCCCCATCACCCCCCATCACCCCTCCATCATCTGCCATCACTAGCCCCATCACCCCCCATCACGCCCCATCACCTGCCATCACTAGCCCCATCACCCCCCATCACCCTCCATCACTCCGCCATCACCTGCCATCACTAGCCCCATCACCCCCATCACCTGCCATCACTAGCCCCATCACCCCCATCACCTGCCATCACTAGCCCCATCACCCCCATCACCCCCCATCACCCCCCATCACCTGCCATCACTAGCCCCATCACCCCCCATCACCTGCCATCACTAGCCCCATCACCCCCCATCACCTGCCATCACTAGCCCCATCACCTCTCCATCACCTGCCATCACGAGCCCCATCACCCCCATCACCCCCCCATCACCTGCCATCACTAGCCCCATCACCCCCATCACCCCCCATCACCTGCCATCACTAGCCCCATCACCTCCATCACCTGCCATCACTAGCCCCATCACCCCCATCACCTCCATCACCTGCCATCACTAGCCTCATCACCCCCCATCACCCTCCATCACCTGCCATCACTAGCCCCATCACCACCCCCCATCACCCTCCATCACCTGCCATCACTAGCCCCATCACCCCTCATCATCACCCCATCACCTGCCATAAATAGCCCCATCATCCCCCATCACCCCCCATCACCTCCCATCACTAGCCCCATCACCCCCCCCCCATCACCCCTCCACCTGATATCACTAGCCCCATCACCCCCCATCACTAGCCCCATCACCTGCCACCACTAGCCCCATCACCCCCCATCACCCCTCCATCACCTGCCATCACGAGCCCCATCACCCCCCATCACCCCCCATCACCTGCCATCACTCGCCTCATCATCCCCATCACCCTCCCCATCACCTGCCATCACTAGCCCCATCACCCCCATCACCCCTCCATCACCTGCCATCACTAGCCCCATCACCCCCCATCTCCCCCCATCACCCCCCATCACCTGCCATTACTAGCCCCATCACCCCCCATCACCTGCCATCACTAGCCCCATCACCCTCCATCACCTGCCATCACTCGCCTTATCATCCCCATCACCCCCCATCACCTGCCATCACTAGCCCCATCACCCCCCATCACCTGCCATCACTAGCTCCATCACTCCCCATCACCAGCCATCACTAGCCCCATCACCCCTCCATCACCTGCCATCAATAGCCCCATCACCCCCCTCCATCACCTGCCATCACCTACCATCACCCCCCCCCCATCACCCCCCCATCACCCCCCATCACCTACCATCACTAGCCCCATCACCCCCATCACCCCCCATCACCAGCCATCACTAGCCCCATCACTCCCCATCACGTCCATCGTCTCAGCGTTAGGATCACGAGAGGGGATGGGTTCAGAGATCGAGAGGGGATCGGGGTAGGGAAAGACCCCTAATTTGTCTCCCACGCACGTGGTACGCATGGCGTGCGTGTGTGTATCGAACATTGGGGAGACAAACGGGGGGGGGGAGGGAGTAGGAGCGACGCTCACAACAACGAGCGGAGCGCCGGGTGGCTAAAGCACAGCAAGTTGGCACAGGTGGTGCATCAGCCACTCATCTCAGTCAGTCGACCCGTGGCACCTGCTGGGTCTGCCCCGTGACCTCGTGCCAGCGGGCGTTCGACACTTCACGTGGCCTCAAGGTGCACATAGCCTGGCACAATCGTCGTGGTGTCACGTCACCGCCACTGAGTGGCGAATGGCGGTTGTTGTTGGGGAGACAAAGGCGGCCGGGCGTGGTGTATTGACCACACCAACCTCTCATTTGCCATAGGCGCTGCTGCTGCTCGGACACAGCACTTGCCCCAACAGTCTGTTAAAGGCTATACGGGGGATCTTTGTCTTGTAGTGCGTGTGTGTGTATCAAAGTGCACCTAGCCTGGTACAAGCGCTGTGGTGACGTCACCGTCAGACTGTCGATTGGGGGCTGTTGTGTATAGTGTACGGTGTGTCGAGTGTACTGTATCGTGAACGTGTGTATCGTGTGTGGTGTCTATGTGCGTATGGTATGTATGTGTGGTGTGTATAGTGTATGGTATGCATGTGTGGTGTGTATAGTGTATGGTATGCATGTGTGGTGTGTATAGTGTATGGTGTGTATAGTGTATGGTATGTATATGTGGTGTTTAGTGTATGGTATGCATGTGTGGTGTGTATAGTGTATGGTATGTACGTATTAAGTGTATAGTGTATGGTATGTATGTGTGGTGTGTATAGTGTATGGTATGTATGTGTGGTGTGTATAGTGTATGGTATGCATGTGTGATGTGTATAGTGTATGGTATGTATGTGTGGGGTGTATAGTGTATGGTATGTACGTATTAAGTGTATAGTGTCGGTGTGTGTACTGCATCGTGTTTGTATATCCAGGAATACTCCGATTTAAATATTCCCCTTTTTACGTCGTTTCGCAAGCACGTCACTCTATCAACGTCGCGAGCGTGAGCTGCGTCGCCTCAACCCGCACACGCTCACTAGGCTGACTCTGCAGCGTCGTCCGTTCCTCCCTCGCTCTCCGTCGCTTCTCAGCCTTCACCACCAACACCACTACTACTACCACCACCACTACCAACACCACTACTACTACCACCACCACTACCACCACCACTACTACCACCCACCACTACCACCCACCACTACCACCCACCACTACTACCACCCAACACCCACTACTACCCACTCACTACTACCACCACCACCACTACTACCACTCCTAGCCACCGTGATGATGATGAGAGAGAGACACGCAAACTCCAAATATACAGCGGCAGACGTCAGGGTCGCGATCGAATCCACGACCTCCTGTATACCAGGCGAGGTAGTTAACATCTCGCCACATACCAGGTACTCTGAAGTCACGCAACTCAAATACTCACGCGGGCTACCTTGAATAGCCCTCGCCGTTTCAGGAGAACCCTCCTCCACCGGGGCTGCTTGGCCAATCCCCGTGGGAGGACAAGCCCGTGACAATTAAAAAGCTCCGGGTCGCACAGATCGAGTCAAGAATCCGTAGTCGCTGTGCCGACTGACATTTACCTGGCCCACCTGGCCGGCAGCCACAAGCCTGTAGCACCTGACAAAAGACAAATAGTTCACTGCTTTAGCCCACCGGTGTGTTGAAGCGTGAAACCACAACATTTTACAACCGGTGGGCTAAAGCAGTGAACTATTTTGTCTTTCGTCAACGTGACACTTTTTTACGGATTGGCCGTGTCGGGTGGTGGAGGGTTACGACACATTTATAAATAACGCGATCGAAACCCAAAAACGTTGATTATGAATAATATTGGTCGCGAAAGCCTCCCACGTGTTAAATTGTAGCACCTGGTCTGCCCGAGCAGGTCCCGTCAGAAGCGATAACCAGCCTTGAACCTGCTCACCTTGTACAGTCAGTACCTTTTTAGGGATGTTTTCAAGTTGGTTTTGTGAGTGAATGAGCGAGTGAATAATTGAGTGGGCGAATCGTTGGGTGGGTGGGTGAATGAGTGGGTGAGTGGCAAGAGTGAGTGATTGGGTGTGTATGTATGTAGAGCTTCTTTAGCACCGTGCTAATCGGAAGTGCGGGGTGAATGATTGGGTGGGTGAGTGGATGAGTGCGTGTAAATAAGTGTGAGTGGTGAGATGTTAACTACCTCGCCTGGTATACGGGAGGTCGTGGGTCCGATTCTGGCCCTGACGCCTGCTGCTGTATATTTGGAATCTGCGTCTCTATGCCCCTGTGATCGCGTGGAATTTTCCGTTTTTTCCCCTCCACATTTAGAATCATCATCACGCGTTTAGAGTTTTTGGCTGCTATCAATTTCCGCGTGATAAGCCATTTAGTTGAGCTATCATTCGTGGCCAGGTCGCTTCTGAAAAAGAGCTACGCAGTTTATTGCGCCTTACCTGGTAAAATAAAAAATAAATAGTTTACGATTTAGTCTCGAGTTCGAGTTACAAGTTAATGTTGTTGACAACCGAGTGAGAGAGAACTCAAGATACCAGGATATGAGGCTCGTCTGCCGGTAGGGGTGTGTGTGGTGGGCGATGATTGCCTCTTGCCGTGTATCATCTCCGCTGAACATTTGCTGTTCGAGTGTTCCAAGTTGGCAACTTCGGGACGGAGATCGTTGGACGTTCAATGTCTCAGTAGCTTCTTGCAGTTGCTGCTGTTGCGATAGTCATTTCACACCGCAGTATTAACCCGGGCGGTACAGCTGGATTGGAACCGTGTCACCTTTACCCCCCCCCCCCCCACCTTTACCCCCCCCACCTTTACCCACCTTTACCCCCCCCCACCTTTACCCCCACCTTTACCCCCACACCCTTACTCCTCCACTCTGACCTCCTCCCATTTGCCCCCCACCCCACCCCCCACCAACTTACACCCCTACCCCAACCTCCCTCCTCACCTTTACCCCCCCACCCTCTTAACCCCCCCACCCCTATCCCCCTCCCCCATTAAATGCCCCTCTGCCCCCCCCCCGCCGACCTGCGTGCGCATGGTGCATGTTGTTTGCATGTAACGTGGGGAGCGGTGGCGCAGCAGTTAGCGCTACGCTGCGCAACGAACCCCGACCACCCGAGTTGGATTCTCGCTCACAGCCACCAACCTCGGTTGCCTGTTACCTGAACCGGTCCTGGGCCTCCCCTAGGTCGACTCAGACTCCAATGGGTACCTGGTGCGATTTGTAAACATCAGCACTGGGGAGACAAAGGCGGCCGGGCGTGGTTTTGGTCAACCACCCCCTCTCGTGTGTAGGTGCCCGCAACAGCACTTGCCCCAACAGTCTGTGAAGGCTATACGGGGCATCTTTGTCATTGTAGGAGTACTTTAATGTGTGGGGGTATGGGGCCGTCCATAAATGACGTCACGCACCTAGGGGGGGGGGTTGAGAAATGTGACGTCACATCAAAATGCACAACTTTAAATAAATATAGACAACACGTTCTACTTAATTAAATAGACTTTTTAATAAAAAAAAATTCCTACAACATCAGAGTGCAGCGCCACATTAAATACGCACTACAATGACAATAGTTTTAAGCGATTTGAAGCATGTTTTTTTTTGGGGGGGGGGGGGCAGAGCTTTGTGACGTCATATTTGAGGGGGGCAGATCTTTGTGACGTCATATGTGTGGGGGGGTCTGACTTTTTGTGACGCCGTGTGACGAAGGGGGGGGGGGGGGTCAAAAATCGTCCAAAATCGCGTGACGTCATTTATGGACGACCCTTTAGGGGTGTACGTGGTGGGTAGGTATGTTGGGGGTATGTGGGGTGGGGGTTGTGTGGGGGGGGGGTGAGTTTTGCGCAGTAATCTGCAGATGGAGTCACTCCCCGTGATGGGTTGGCGCGGGAACAAACTGGCGGCCAAACCCCTGGGCACGTGACGCGAACAAGGGGGGTGAGGGGGGTGGGGTGTGTGGGGGGGGGTGTGTGTGTGTGGGGGGTGTGTGTGGGGTGTATGTGTGTGTGGGGTGTGTGTGTGGGGTGTGTGTGTGGGGTGTGTGTGTGAGGTGTGTGTGTGTGGCGTGTGTGTGTGTGGTGTGTGTGTGTGGGGGGGGGGGTGTGTGGGGTGTGTGTGTGGGGGGGGGTGTGGGTGTGTGTGTGTGTGGGGTGTGTGTGTGTGTGGGGTGTGTGGGGTGTATGTGTGTGTGGGGTGTGTGTGTGTGTGGGGGGGGGGTGTGTGGGGGGTGGGGTGTGTGTGGGGTGTGTGTGAGGTGTGTGTGTGTGGGGTGTGTGTGGGGGGGGTGTGTGAGGTGTGTGTGTGGCGTGTGGGTGTGTGTGTGGTGTGTGTGGGGGGGGGTGTGGGGTGTGTGTGTGTGGGGGGTGTGTGTGGGGTGTGTGTGGTGTGTGTGTGGGGTGTATGTGTGTGTGGGGTGTGTATGTGTGTGGGGTGTGTGTGGGATGTGTGTGTGTGGGGTGTGTGTGTGTGTGGGGTGTGTGTGGGGGGTGGTGTGGTGAGTGTATGTGCGTGGTGAGTGTATGGTGTGGTGAGTGTGTGGTGTGGTGAGTGTATGTGCGTGGTGAGTGTATGGTGTGGTGAGTGTGTGGTGTGGTGAGCGCATGGTCTGGTGAGTGTGTGGTGTGGTGAGTGTATGTGTGTATGGTGTGGTGAGTGTGTGGTGTGGTGAGTGTATATGTGTGGTGAGTGTATGGTGTGGTGAGTGTGTGGTGTGGTGAGTGTATATGTGTGGTGAGTGTATGGTGTGGTGAGTGTATGGTTTGGTGAGTGTATGGTGTGGTGAGTGTGTGGTGTGTGGTGACCGTGGTGTGTGTGGTGTCACCCTGGCAGGTGCACGTGGACTCCGGGACCCTGCACTGCTACCCAAACACACACAGACACACACACTCGGACACACACAGACACACACACACAGACACACATTCACACAGACACACACACACACAGACACTCATCCACACAGACATACACACGGACACACACAGACACATACACTCGGACACACAAGATACCCACAGACACAGATACAAAGCCAAAGATCCCCCGGAAAGCCTGAACAGACTTTCGGGGCAAGTGCTATTGGCGAGTAGCGTCTGTTAAGACACACAGGCAGACACACAGACAGACACACAGACAGACACACACAGACAGACACACACAGACACACACAGGCAGACACACACAGACACGCAGACGCAACTGGATACATTAATTGTGGGGGAGAGTGAGAGGAGAGAGAGGGGGGGGTGAAAGGGGGACAGAGCAAAGGGTATAGGGAGCGGTGAGGACCACGAGAGGAGCCTCCATCGGTCACCATGGAAACGGAGCCCGGGTCACTCCTAGTCGGGACCCTCATCGACCTTGACCCCGTCGACTCGGGGGTCCCCGGGGTCTCCGAGGTCACGGGGGTCTCCTCGGGGGACCTCCTGTCGCTGCCCGCCGCGGGGGGCCCCGCGATCGACCTCCTGTGCGGCAGCCCCCGCGTCGAGAGCCTCGCCCTGCCGGGGGGCGGCGAGCCTCTCCCCCCGAGCCTCGACCTCCTGTCGGGCAGCCCCCGTGACCCAGGGGGACCCGTCCCCTCGGGCGGGGACCCGTGGAGGCCCGCGGGGGACACGTGGGGTTCCAGCGCCGAGGGGACCGCTGCCGCTGACCCCTGGGGGCCCGCGACAGGCCCCTGGGGCGACCAGGCCGAGGCCTCCGTCGAGGGGTTCGGGCCTCAGGAGGGAGGGGACGTGTGGGTCCTGTCGGAGGCGACCCCCTCCGAGGGAGTCCCCTCCAAGGGGGTCTCCGAGGGGGTCGGAGGCCACCAGAAGCGCGGTGCCGGCGAGGAGTCCCCGACGGCGAGCGAGGCGACGGAGTCGGCGGATTCGTCGGAGGCGGAGGGGGATGATGGTCCCGGCCCCAGAGACGAGCAGCAGCAGCAGCAGCAGCGAGGGGACGGGGAGGAGGATGGCCCCGAGGAGGAGAGACCCCTGGTCGGGTCGGGGTCCGCGGGGTCCCTCGGAGCCCCCGAGGGAGGGGATGAGGAGAGCCCAGCCGGGGGTAGGACGTTCGTGAGGAACTTGGCAGCGAAGATTGTCGACGAAACGTGAGGAGCCTTGATCGTCATCATCATCATCACCGTTACCATCATCGCCACAGTCAACAACATCATCATCATCACTGTTACCATCATCGCCACAGTCAACAACAACATCATCATCATCAACATCACGAGTTACACAATCCATCATCATCATCACCGTTACCATCATCACAGTCAACAACAACAACATCATCATCTCGATTTAAAGCTTTCGTGATTGCAGGGATTCATCTTCTTGGTTCTTTTGGTAAAGTCACGTAGAATGGAAATAATAAAATAATAAAAATAAAACATAATAAAATAATTCTCACGACGTTTCGGCCACAACGCAAGCAGCCGTCCTCAGGTGGAGAACAGGTCTGTCGAGAAGACAGAGTCATTAAAATTCTGTCATTCTACGTGACTTTACCGAAAGAACCAAGAAGATCAATCCATCATCGTCAACAATCGTAACTTTTCATTCACGATCATCTTTAATCACCATCTACACGAGCATCATCAGTACAATCATTATCAACAGTCGTTATCATGAACACCACCACCTCCATCATCATCTACAGATTTTATACCGTACTGTACAATCATCAAACACAACCATCATCACTATGAACACAATCATTGTCATTACCATCATTATCACCACCACCACCATCACGCTTGTATAACCAGGAAAGCCTCAACTTAGTCTCATATAACTCTTTTTTTTCAGGAGGTGTCATGCTGGTGGTGGCGTAGAAGGTTCTGTTTGCAATGTGTGTGTGTGTGTGATCACAATTGATTGAATTTGCGGTTTATTTAAAAACAAATATGAATTGGCAAATGTGTACCTAACTCTTGCGAATGATGCCACGGCATCCGTAACGTCGCCTATCAAGCTGCAAATGGAATCGCTCCTCCCTGCATTCACGACCTCCTGCAGCCACATTTATTCCACCGAGATCATGAAGATCCTCAGATGGGGCACTGCTCGCATGCCACCGAAACTCTGGAATTCCTTGCCCATTCGAGGTCAGGGGACTACCTAGACACTTATAAATCTTCCACTCTCGACTAAAAATGTTACCCGTTTAAAATGTATTTTTTTTCTCTTTGGTAACTTTTTCAAACGTCTTCTTTCCTTGGTTGATGTTTAAACTATTTCCCGCATTTCCATAGCGCCCTGAGAACGATTGTTTAAGGGCGTTTTATAAATGTTAATTATTATTAGTAGTAGTAGTATTTGTCGTGGTTAATTAATTCGCACGTATTAACCAGGGCGGCCACTGGATGCGAACTGCAAACCTCTGCAATGAGCGGTGGAGATGGTGGTGGTGACGATTGTGATGATTGATACGGGAAGCGATGATGATGTTGGTGGTTGTGTTGTGGTTTTAATGTGTCAATAATTGTGACGGTTTTGGTGATGGTTATTATGGTGGTCATTGTTATTTGTGATTTTTGTGATGTGTCGGTGCTGATGATGATGGTGCTGATGATGGTGGTGGTGGTGGTCCTGTGGATGATTGCGGTTCTGATGTTAATTATTGTCACGAAAGTAATTTGATGGTTTTGGTGATGGCAATTATGGTGTTGGTGGTGATGGCAATTATAGTGGTGATCACGTTAATTATTGTTGATTATTGTGATTGTGTTGGGGCTGATGATGTGTGCACGAGGTGGTCGCAAGAGGCGACTTGATTCCTTACCCCCGTGATGCCAGATGACCTTCAGTGACCTCCACTGTGTGTGCGTGTGTGTGCAGTATCTGTGTGCGTGTGTACATATCTGTGTATGTTGCTATATGTTGAACTTCTTTCGCACCGTACGTAGTCAACCGAGCTCATCACAGGTATATTGTGGGGCGTGTTGGCGCAATGCTTAGCCACAAACTCCGGAAACCTGAGTTCGAATCCCGCTCACGACCAATGACAGTGACGGATATTTCAACCGGTCCTGGGCCTCCCCTTCCTTCGTCAACTCAGTCTCAAATGAGTACCTGGTGCGGTGTGTAAACAACACTAGCGCTGGGGAGACAAAGGCGTCCTTGACGTAGCGTTGACCACTCCACAGTTTCACGCTTCAACACACCGGTGGGCTAAAGCAGTGAACTATTTGTCTTTTGTCAACGTGACACTTTTTTACTGATTGGCCGTGTCGGGTGGTGGAGGGTTACGACACATTTATAAAGAACGTGATCTAAACCCAAAAACGTTGATTATGAAGACTAAATGTCCGAGGCAATTAAATATTTTATTTCTGGGACACTTTTTTTCTCCAGGGGTGTTACTCAACTCCGCGACTGGGGTACCAATGAATCCGAAATCAGTGCCACACTCCGCGATGTCGAAACGCCGAACATCAGCATAACAAAATCCGTTATCGAAAAATTCAACTTTGAAGAGTGCATCGTGTACAGCTCGTCGAGATTAATCGATTACCGAATCGCCGACCATCGACAGACTAAAAATGACTGCATCACGGACATGATGCGAGAGCCGGGGTACTCTGGCTACCCCGGGGTTCCACCACGAGGTTCATTTGCCCTAAGCAGGGCCGTCCCTAGGGGGAGGGGGGGGGCTGCGGGGCCCGGGGCAACCCCCCATTGAGTGCCCCCCATCGCCCCGACGCATTCAAACTAAACGAGAAGTATTGGTATTCATATTCTTAGGTTTTTTCGGTAAAGTCACGTAGGTAAAACATTTTTTAATAAAAGTAAACTAAAAATAAAATAAAAATCACGACGTTTCGGAGGCAACACAAGCTTCCGTCTTCAGGTGGAACCGTCACAGCACGATTGCTGTGTCAAGTAGGAAGGCCAGCGTCTCGAGAAGCTGTGACTTCTTGTCTCGTTGTCTGTTAAAAACTCTAACAGATAGGTGGAATTCCTCTCCGTAGAGGGCATTAATTCTCGATTTGAAGTTTTCGTGACTGCAAGGATTCATATTCTTAGGTTTTTTCGGTAAAGTCACGTAGGTAAAAAAATTTAAATTAATAAAAGTAAAACAAAAATAAAATAAAAATCACGACGTTTCGGAGGCAACACAAGCTTCCGTCTTCAGGTGGAACCGTCACAGCACGATTGCTGTATCAAGTATTGGATCTGACACCGTGGCGTCAAAGCACGGGTACCCCTACCCCCCCACCCCCAAAGCGCGGGGCTCAGAGCGGTCGCCCCGAATCGCTTGCACACATGACATTTGTTGTTGTTTTCACCGATCGGCGAGACGCGGGCTGTCTTCGTCTATAGATACACACACACGCGCGTCTGTGTGTGAACTGTTGCGTTATAGGTATCGTCATGTCGATGTTGGGCTCAGTTGGGGATAGTAATTCGATAATTGTTTTTTTTTAATTCCTTTATATTAAGTTCGCTTGCTTGCTTAGGACCATGCAAATCTTTCGGTCGTTTTTTAACCCACTTCCCGTGATTCAATCGAGCTGACATTTTGCACACAGATTCGTTGTGCGTGACAATGCATTTTCGTGAAAAAATTTTTCTCAAATTTTACACTGTTTAGGGAAATTTTTTTAAATATTTAATTACCAATTGTTTAATGCTGCCAGACAATCATCTGACCCATAGGTGGCAGCCATCTCAAGCCAGAGGACGAGAGGACTCTAGCCGCCCCGATGCCACGCATATAAAGGATTTATAGTGAAAAACTTTGTTTTACGGGATTACTTGTTACCCTTTTATCTGGCAACAAAACTGACACCTTTTTTTTACAAGGAGTCATGTTTACATAGACCACAATACCTGCAGTCATAATGCAAACAAAAAATATAACTCTGATAATGTATGCACTGTCCTTGAAGTTGATTGGTCCACACCCAAGACAGCTTTCCTTAGAGCCTAGTCTCACATGGTGTTGGACCAGATGACGCCAAAAGGCGCACTATAACTGCAGGTATTGTGGTCTATGCAAACATGACTCCTCGTAAAAAGGTGCCAGTTTTGTTTCCAGATAAAAGGGTAAAAAACCAATGATCATATTTTTTACTGGCAAATGAGGTTCCAATGGGGTAGTAATTCGGTCTGGGCTAAGATTAAGGGGGCCGGTGTTAGCGATGGACCGAGAAGGAACGCGGATTAGAGGACACGCACGGGGGTGGGGGGGGGTGTCTCGTGAAGACGCCGTTCAAACCCTCGAGGAAAGCAACGTGAGGGGGGGGGTGGCGGTGGGGGTCTTGGGGACAGGACACGCGGCTTAGTGGGGAGCTGAGGGTCAAGCGAGTAGTGACGGAGTGCAATGAAAGGGTGACGCCGAACCCGTGGAGATGGAGCGATTATGAATAACCGAACGCGCCTTCGTGTAGAGAGAGAGAGGAGAGAGAGAGAGAGGAGCATTCGGCTGCCTATACATGCTCCACGCGATGGGTTAAGCGACTTCGTTGCGCCATCATTCCTGATGGCCAGGTCGCTTCTGAAAAAGAATAATGAAATGAGTATAACCCGTAAAAACAAAGTTTTTCACTTTAAATCCTTTATATGCATGGCGGCGAGAGTCCTCTCGTCCTCTGGCTTGAGATGGCTGTCACCTATGGGTCAGATGATTGTCTGCAGTATTAAACAATTGGTAATTAAATATTTAATTTGTTTTCCCTAAACAGTGTAAAATTTTGGAAAAAAAAATTCACGAAAATAAATTGTCACGCACAACGAGTCTGTGTGCAAAATGGCAGCTCGATTGGATCATGGGAAGTGGGTTAAAAAAACGACCGAAAGATTTGCACGGTCGTAAGCGCGCAAGCAAGCAAGTGAACTTAATATAAAGGATTTAATACAGGATTTAAAAAACCCGTTGTTTAGTTTAAAATAGTTTGGTTTAGCTGGGGTCGTAAGTGCCGAGTGCAGTGATTTGTCACATCGCTCAACCTCGGGTCGATGTACCCCACGGCAGCGGGACCTGCTTGTAGGATGCCTTCATCCGTCGAGCAGCGGATCGAGCTCGACAATGATTATTTATGTTCGGGGCGAGCGGCTAGGATTAATGGGGGTCGAGGTTTAGGGTTAACTTCAAGGAGCGCGCCTCCGCCATAAACCACGGTTAGGGTAAAGGAGTCGGGGGGAGGTGAGGGGGGGAGAAACTCCCCGCTCCGTTATAGAGCTGCGGCGAGGGGGATCCTATTAGGCTGGTAAACAGATCGGGAGAGAGCCCCCCCCCCGGGGAGAGGGAGATACGCAGTGCCGATGGGATGGGGGCAGGCTTGTGGGGAGGGGACGTGTATCCCCTTGCCCTCTAAATCCCGCTGAGTCAGTGCCGTGGTTGGATGGAGGGGGGTGGTGGTGGAGGTGGTGGTGGGGAAGAGATTATTCTCGGTAGGTGGAGGGGGAGAATTAGAAATCCGCGGCAGCCCCTCACCCCCCGCACTGCAGCTTGCACACGTGACATTTGTTGTTGTTTTCACCGATCTCCGTTGGGACTGAAAGCGCGGCAGCTCTTCCCGGTGGTAGCGGATGAGAGGGAGGGGGGGAGGGGGGGCACTTCCGCGGATTTATTTGCTTAGAAGCCTTAGAACATAAAGCGACAAATTTGATTCCAGCTGGGCAGCTGTCCGTCGCCCGCGTCTTGGTGGCACGGGTTTCATGTAATTTGCATCCCTCCAATTATTATTTTCGCGTCTTGGTGGCACGGGTTGGAGACAATTTGCATCTCCCAATTATTATTTTCGCGTCTTGGTGGCACGGGTTGGAGACAATTTGCATCCCTCCAATTATTATTTTCGCGTCTTGGTGGCACGGGTTGGAGACAATTTGCATCTCCCAATTATTATTTTCGCGTCTTGGTGGCACGGGTTGGAGACAATTTGCATCCCCCAATTATTATTTTCGCGTCTTGATGGCACGGGTTGCAGACAATTTGCATCCCCCAATTATTATTTTCGCGTCTTGGTGGCACGGGTTGGAGACAATTTGCATCCCACAATTATTATTTTCGCGTCTTGGTGGCACGGGTTGGAGACGATTTGCAACCTCCAATCATTATTTCGCGTCTTGGTGGCACGGGTTGCAGACAATTTGCAACCCCCAATCATTATTTTAGTGTCTTGGTGGCACGGGTTGGAGACAATTTGCATCCTCCAATTATTATTGCCGCGTCTTGGTGGCACGCAAGATGTCCGTGTGCTCGATGCCGGACGCTGGCAATGCCTCTTGTAAAGTTGGAGTTCCCATGTTCTCCCTGCGGACATGTGGTGGTCTCGTGGATTTCTCTCCGCGTTCCTCCGATTTTTGCCCGACTCCATCCACGTTGAGAAAACAACGCTGGTTTAGATGAATGTGTGATGGTCTTGATGCTTGCGTGATGGTGTGTGATGGCGTTGTGATGGTGGTCTTGTGTCGATGGACCCTTGATGGTGGTGTGTGATGGCGCTGTGATGGGAGGATGTCTTCTCACCTGCGCCACGATGTCGCGAGCGAACCAATCGCTCACATCCACTCTGCGACGCACGTGTGATGATGATGATGACTTAAACTACATCCATGATGAGATATCATCGCGTGTGGCAAGGTCGCCTCTGAAATAGTGTCCATAGCTCAGTAAGAAAAGAGTGCCATCAGAAACACTGCCTCTTATCCGCACACGAGCATGCGTCAGTGGCAATCACACCGATATATTATTTAAAAAATATATTATCAAAACCTTAAATTTGGCCAAATTAATGAACGGCTAAATTCGTTATTTAAACACGTAGGCTTTCGCGACCATAATATAGGTTTCTGTTGGGTTAGATCACCTAAATATGAATGCGTCGTTAAATCCTCCAACTCGCTACACCGGAGAACCGGGTTTAATCACTATTGCGTCTGTGTGAGTGTGTGGGTCTCTATGCCTAGGGTTAGGGTGTCTTGTCTCTATGGCAGTCCATCAACTCACCACACTTAAAGAACCCCAAGTTTAATGACATCTATGCGGCCAACACCCGGAATGGAACTCGAGGTCTCAGCGGTGCCGGCTCAGCCACTCGACCTCCTCCTCCTCCTCTGCTTCCGCAGATTTCTCTTTGCCCACTGGAGCAGAGAAGGATTTATTGAGTGGCGTAAAAGGAGCGCTCGCGTGAGGAGAGGGAGATTGGGGGAGGGGTGGTGGGGGGGAAGGGGTGGGGGTGGTGGGGGGGGAAGGGGTGGTGGGGGGGGAAGGGTTGGGGGTGGTGGGGGGGGAAGGGGTGGGGGTGGTGGGGGGGAAGGGGTGGGGGTGGTGGGGGGGAAGGGTTGGGGTGGTGGGGGGGAAGGGGTGGGGGTGGTGGGGGGGGGAAGGGGTGGGGGGTGGTGGGGGGGGAAGGGGTGGGGGTGGTGGGGGGGGAAGGGGTGGGGGTGGTGGGGGGGAAGGGTTGGGGGTGGTGGGGGGGAAGGGGTGGGGGTGGTGGGGGGGAAGGGGTGGGGGGGGGGTTCAGGGGATGAGATTGGGGGACGGGGGGAGGGGCGCATCAACCTCTGTCCTCGTGATATAATGACCCTGTGATCCGATGTTGGATGGTGATGGTGGTGGTAATTATGATGATGATGTTAGTGATGGTGATGATGGTGGTGGTGATGTAAATGTCACCGCCAGGGAGACAAAGGCGGTCGGGCGTGTAGCTGGCTACCCACCCCTTCGTGTGCTGTGCCGGCCTTCATAGGTGCTGCTCGCTAACAGCACTTGCCCCAGCAGTCTGTCAAAGCTATCCAGTGGATCTTTGTCTTTGTGGTGTTGATGATGATAATGATATTGCTGACGACGATGATGGTGGTGGTGGTGATGGTCGTGATAGCTATGAGGATGTTGACGGTAGTCATAGTGACGACGATGATGTTGGTGATGTTGGTGATGATGTTGGTGATGGTTATGATGATGTTGATAATGTTGGTGATGGTGATGATGATGTTGGTGATGGTGATGATGATGTTGGTGATGGTGATGATGATGTTGGTGATGGTGATGATGATGATGTTGGTGATGGTGATGATGATGTTGGTGATGGTGATGATGATGTTGGTGATGGTGATGATGATGGTGATGATGATGTTGGTGATGGTGACGATGGTGATGTTGGTGATGGTGATGATGGTAATGTTGATGAAGGTGATGGTGATGATGTGTGTGTCGCAGCGAGGAGGTGAGCGAGGAGGAGCGAGCCACATTTGCCGAGGCCGTGTCGGGGGAGGGAGGCAAGGGGCGCGATTGGTTCGCCCGCTACATCGTGGCGCAGGTGAGACATCCTCCCATCGCAGCGCCATCACACGCCGCCATCGCGCAAACATCAAGACCATCACAGCACCATCGACGCCATCACAGGGACATCAACACCATCACGACGGCATCCACACAGGACGATCGCCAACACCACCACCAACGTGATCACAGCTCCATTCATTACAATCACAGAGAGACAGAGGGAGCAATGGTGGGAGAGCGGTGGAGGAGAGATGAGAACGTGGAGAGGGGGATAGACAGGGGAGGGGGAGGGGGATGAGAAGGGAGAGGGGGGACCAGGAGGGAGGGAGAGGGAGGCCGTTGTTGCTCTGCTCGCGTCTATTGCCCACGGCACAGCGTCATCCCGGATCAGTGTCAACTTGCGTGCGAGTCGGTGTGAGTCAGTGCGTGCTTGCGTGAGTCAGTGTGAGTGAGTGCGTGTGTGTGAGCGAGTGAGTCAGTGTGAGTCAGTGCGTGCTTGCGTGTGAGTGAGTCGGTGTGAGTCAGTGTGAGTGAGTGCGTGCTTGTGTGTGTGTGAGTCCGTGTGAGTCAGTGTGAGTGAGCGAGTGTGAGTGAGTGTGAGTGAATGCGTGCTTGCGTGTGTGTGAGTCGGTGTCAGTCAGTGTGAGTGAGTGAGCGAGTGTGAGTCGGTGTGAGTGAGTGTGAGTGAATGCGTGGTTGCGTGTGAGTCGGTGTGAGTCAGTGCGTGCTTGCGTGTGAGTGAGTCGGTGTGAGTCAGTGTGAGTGAGTGCGTGCTTGTGTGTGTGTGAGTCCGTGTGAGTCAGTGTGAGTGAGCGAGTGTGAGTGAGTGTGAGTGAATGCGTGCTTGCGTGTGTGTGAGTCGGTGTCAGTCAGTGTGAGTGAGTGCGTGTGTGTGAGCGAGTGAGTCAGTGTGAGTCAGTGCGTGCTTGCGTGTGAGTGAGTCGGTGTGAGTCAGTGTGAGTGAGTGCGTGCTTGTGTGTGTGTGAGTCCGTGTGAGTCAGTGTGAGTGAGCGAGTGTGAGTGAGTGTGAGTGAATGCGTGCTTGCGTGTGTGTGAGTCGGTGTCAGTCAGTGTGAGTGAGTGAGCGAGTGTGAGTCGGTGTGAGTGAGTGTGAGTGAATGCGTGGTTGCGTGTGAGTCGGTGTGAGTCAGTGCGTGCTTGCGTGCATGTGAGTCGGTGTGAGTCAGTGTGAGTGCGTGCGTGCTTGCCTGTGTGTGAGCGAGTGTGAGTCAGTGTGAGTGAGTGAGTGCGTGCTTGCGTGCGTGTGTGTGAGTCAGTGTGAGTGAGTGCTTGCGTGTGAGCGAGTGTGAGTCAACGTGTCAGTGTGAGTCAGTGCGTGCTTGCGTGTGTGTGAGTCGGTGTGAGTGAGTGCGTGCGTGAGCGAGTCAGTATGAGTCCACATGCATGTGAGTCTACGTGTGTGGGGAGCGGTGGGTGTAGTGGTTAGCGCTTCGCTGCGCTACGAACCCGGCCACCCGAGTTCGATTCCCGCTCACAGCCGACACCCAGTGGCGATTACCTGAACCGGTACTGGGCCTCTCCTAGGTAGACTCAGCCTCAAATGAGTACCTGGTGCGGTGTGTAAAAACATCGTCACTGGGGAGACAAAGGCGGTCGGGCGTGGTGCTGGCCACCCACCCCCTCGTGTACTGTTCCAGCCTTCATAGGTGCTCGCTAACAGCACTTGCCCCAACAGTCTGTTCAGGCTATAGGAGGATCTTTGTCTTTGTGTGTGTATGTGAGAGCACGTGTGTGAGCGTGCATTTGTGTGTGTGAGAGTGCGTGCGTGTCTGAGCGTGCGTGCGTGCATAAGAGCGTGTGTGTCACGATCATTCAAGGCCTTCACGAGATCCTAATTCCGATTTAAAGCTTTCGTGACTGCAGGGATTCATCTTCTTGGTTCTTTCGGTAAAGTCACGTAGAAGGGAAGTAATAAAATAATAAAAATAAAACATAATAAAATAAAACAATTCTCACGACGTTTCGGCTACAAGACGGCTGCTTGCGTTGTAGCCGAAACGTCGTGAGAATTATTTTATTACTTCCCTTCTACGTGACTTTACCGAAAGAACCAAGAAGAAGAGATCCTAATTCGTCATTAAACTTGACCCCCCCCCCTCCCGCCCCCCATAATTTCAACCGCCGCACCCGAAGATCGGCGTCGAATCAGCACCGTCCCTATCGTGGTGGCGAGATGTTCTTGGCCTGGTATGGAGGAGGTCGTGGCTTCGATCCCGACCCTGACGATGCCCGTGTGTGTGTGTGTGTATGCTCGAGTTTGCGTGTTCCATCCGCAGTGGTCGCGTGCGTTTATCTCCGCGCCCTCCGGTCCCCCCCCCCCCCCCCCCCGTCGCATTTAGAATCGGCGCCACGCGTTCGGAGTTGACTTTTACCCGACGTACATTTCCACTCGACGATGCTGAAGGCGCTGATGAGCCGCTTCGTCGGGCTGTCATTCTGACAAACAAAACAAAAATAGCTACGTAGCTCGGAGGGGCCCTACCTGGTAGAATTCATGAACAGAAAGAACGGTAGATTTGAAGCTTTCGTGACTGCGATGATTCATATTCTTAGGTCACGTAGGTAAAAAACATTAAAAAGTAAAAGTATGCGGCCCTTGCCCCACCATCTTCTCCAACCATTATATAAACGGAGTGGTAGCTCCTGCAATCTCTCATTTACTTGATACAGCTGTCGTGGCTGTGACGGTACCACCTGAAGACGGAAGCTTGTGTTGCCTCCGAAACGTCGTGATTTTTATTTTATTTTACTTTTTAATGTTTTTTTTACCTACGTGACTTTACCGAAAAAACCTAAGAATAGAAAGAACGGTGTTGGTGAGTGCACCGCTAATCACTGCACCTGCCGTCGGCAGCTCCCACTACCGAGAAGCTGTGCGACGAATTCTGCTGCTCCGTGGAGCGGACGAGAGACGCAGTAGGGGCGCACCCAGAACAGAGCATCTGGGGGCGATTAAACTCGTCGATTTTTCTGTTAGTTCCTTTCAAGCGGAAAGGGGATACTATTTACATTGCGGTATATAAAATGTTATGCTGGTAGGAACTCACTGGTTACACCAGCCCACAGGGGATTATTGTGTCCGTCCGTCGTGCAGGGAGGGGCTGGGTGGGGAGGGGAGGGGCTGGGTGGGGAGGGTGGGGAGGGGCTGGGTGGGGAGGGTGGGGTGGGGAGTGGCTGGGTGGGGAGGGTGGGGAGAGGCTGGGTAGGGAGGGTGGGGCTGGGCGGGGGGTGGGAGGGGTGGGGCTGGGTGGGAGGGGCTGGTTACCCCGTGGTGCCCTTATAAAACTCAAAGTTTAACCTACTCACGCCGACTTGTGCCCGCCCTCACAGTCGGGCATATTTGCGGAATACACCACGCCGCCGTTGACCCTGGCCATTGACCGAGCAACCCAACGTTCCTACCAGCTCCCTCCGCAGGAATGTGTTTTATTTCAGATTCAGATTCTTTATTTACACTGGAGGAATCCGGTGGGCTATGAAGCTAGGTTTTTTTCCACAGATGTTCGCAGATGCCCATTTATTTATATTTTTAGATTCCCAACAGCAGCAGCAGCAGCAAAACACCACTTGGCAGTCGGATCCGCGGGGCGCATTTCCATTGTTAACGTCGTTTTTATTGCATAACCGGTAACCGAATGAAAATAAGCGAGTACAACTGGTTCAACACGAAGGCAGCCGCCACGGTGGCCATCGGCGCGTGACTGGACTCAGTCCACAGCGGTCACCGGGGGCTCCATTCCATCGGCCGGCGCCGCAGTTCAAACAACGAGGGCAGGTTTCTTACGTAGCCCCAACTGTTAGCCAGAGCGTGAGTTTCCCTGTGTGTTCTAACCTGCGTGTGTGTGTGTCCATGTCCCCGTGTCTCCACATGTCCCCCTGGTCTCTCCACATGTCCCCTGGTGCCCCCTCCACGTCGTCGCCGGTGTCTCCCCGTGTCTCCATGTGTCTCTCCATGGTTCCACGTGTCTCCCCGTGTCTCCGTGTACTGGTCTCCATGTGT